CAGCTCACACTAGTTTTTAGCTAGTTATAACTTAAGACATCATGTATTGCAATTTTTTCCCCTTTCCTTCAGACGTAAACGAACCAGTGAAACAGGGGCTGGAGGTGAGTACCATCAAGGTATTAGACAGATTAAGATTTAGGTTTTTTTTTTGCCATGATATGCAAACATGACTACATTATTTTTATTGTTTTCCTGTAATTCACTTAACCTTTTCAAACCTTCGCACCAAAGACAAATATTCTTATGGTTATCCACTATTCGAAGATGATTTGCGATTCCTTTTTTTATTCTTTTTATTTAAACATATCAACTCTCTGAGTTCTCTCCAAGAGCTAGGCTCATTGTGGGAGATTACGCAGTTAACAATAATTACAAGGTTTCTGGAGTTTAAGGAAAAAAGTACAAAAAAAAAAAGTACAAAAAAAAAACACATATATATAGAAAAGTACAATTGAAATTACATCGTAGGAAATTACATGTAATGATTAGAAAGGAAAAAAAGCATAGATATATAGAAAAAGTACAACGGAAAAGAAAATATATCTACAAAATCAATAATTAAGCGTTCTTTACTCTATCTAAATCTTTTGGTGGCTGCCAAATATTGTTGGACACTCAAGAACAATTTTTGATTTTGCTTAAAAGTTAAATGTGGAGAACCAAATGGAAAAAAGTTTACTTTATCAGACTCTGAAGTATGATATTGGAAAAGCTGTGAGGAAAGCGAAAGCAGATTTTGATGTATCGGGGACAGTGTAAGAAATAGTGAGAGATGGATTCCTTTTTGCTAATTTTAAAGAATTTTTCACTTATTTGATCAACTGAAATTTCATGTTTGACATAATAATGAGAATCTTAATCTTTCTATTACCACAGTAATAAACCACCTTCAATCAAATCAATTGTTCTTCTATACTTTCTTTTGAATTTTCATGCATTCTAACAATATTTATGATTTATTTGATTGACAGTTGTCTATTAAAGAAATAGAAAACGTGCACGCGTGCTGTATGCAGTTATAGAGCATGCGGGGTTGGCAGAACTTGAGAGAAGTGTTAGGAGAAGCACGATGCGTAGCAGAGTTTTTTTTGACACTTCTTGAGTGTTCTGCTAATCCCCAAGTGCTTTATAACTACAAACAGCACAGCAAGCAAGTTTTTTTATTTCTTTTATAAAATACGAATTACATAAATGACAAAACTGAAAGTGCTCGCAGGTGCTGTGTGCTCTCATAAAGCACACGCTCCCAACCAATCAGAATGCGAGATTTAGAGCAGTTATTTTATAATGATGATTTACATGTTGCTCACTTTTTCTTGATCAGTGCATAGAAGGATCATTTTTTGATCTATGAATCATTTTGTTACCAGAAACACCTGGAGAACAAATAGTGAGGAAACTAACTTTTGAAAGAATAGAAGAACTAAAGAAGAGTGTGAAGAATGATCAATTGACCTACAGGTACAACAAGATCTTTTTGTTATTGTGAAGACTGCATAAGTCACAGGGGAGTACAGAGCTCTCAATAATATTTCTAGTAGGAGGTTAGTCCTAAAAAGTAGGGGGCTGAAGCCACTGGTGTTTGTATTATATTAATTTTATTTGGCAATGAATTAATTTTTTGACAAAATAGCCTGCAGTTTAAGGTGAAGTATCCGGCGATAAACCACCGGTAGCCACCTTTTATTAAAAGCTCTGGGAGTAGGCAGAGGGGCCAAGGGGAACATAAATTTTTTCAATTGTTTACTGTCCTGTGAAAAGATTCCTGCAGTAGTCTTCTTTAAAACAGATACTGTGTAATTGTTTTTGGGACAAGATTTTAATCCCATTTAGAAAACTGCTGCAACAGTGATTGGTTTGCTCTTTTCTGAACCATGAATTGAACACACATCTAACCCATGTTATTGCCAATCCCAGGGCCGTAACTAGGGGGGAGCACAGGGTGCACGTGCACCCCCCATAAAACCTTAAGGTCCGCTCATGCATCTTCCTTTTTTTTTTTTTTTTTGGTTCTGCTTTTTTTTGGTAACCTTTTATTTTTTGGTTCTGCAAATTATTGCCTGTGCACCTCCCTGCAAGATCCCTAGTTACGCCACTGAGTTGGTAATAAAAAAACGATCAATGGTCCGATTTTATTCGATGTGCACCCTCCCTGTAAAAGTTCTGGTTACGGCCCTGAATCCCATGCCTTAAAGATTTGACTAACTGTTGAACAACATTACAGAAAACTAAAGATGCACATAGAGGATATAAGAAATGGAAAGATTGACCAGCAGTTGCCTGCAATATGGGAAGAAATACAAGCGTAAGTATACTAGACTAGTATTCTTGGCGCAGCTGTGATGGTGCTTTTAACAAAAGATTTCTCATGTGTCTGAGAATATATATTAAATATATATTTGTACTGCAGTTGTAATGTATCAAATTGAGCTGATACTCGCAGTATAAGAAGCAACTTATGCAGCTGCAAATTGAAAGGCTCAGAAAAAATTCTGAGTCACGTTCAAGGACATGTTAGGAGGGTTTATGGGCCTGATAGGATATATATATATATGTGTGTGTATGAGAATATATATATAAAATATATATTTGTACTGGGGTTGTAATGTATCAGTTTCTCATGAGCATCCATTGTTAATCACACCAAGATGGACGCAATGTTTTTGTCTCTTGAGAATGCTTGCAGCCCATCAATTACAATTTTAAAACTAGAGGCTCACATGAAAACTGAGTTTAACTGATCCTATGTTGAGTTGGTTTTGAAGTGCCTAGCAAAAATACAATTGCAAGCTATTTTTGAAATTCTTTTACCACTCAAATATTCACTTTATGTAGAATCAATACTGAAAATATTGAGTTAGGTGGTATAGGCACTTTAATCAATGAAAGTGCTACAATCATTTAAAAAAAGTCTACAGTGAATCCTCAGCCGAAGCCACCAAATAGAAAAATGTACCTTCACTTAGAAAAACCTGTAACATTGCTCGCTTTTCCTTTTATTTTTTTAAAGGCGAAAACGAAAAATGGAAGAAATGCAACAAATGCAGTCATCAACGTCAGGATCATCTGCTGGGGGTGATAATTCCCCCTCACCTTTCCCTCTAGGAGGGTCATCTGGAGTTCTGTTCCCCGTTTCCCCATCTCTTCTATTTGGTGAGTTATGCAAGGTTCAGCAACATTGGAAGACTTGTAGCTCTTCTGCTATGCTTCACAGGACCTCTATGAAAAACATATTCATGGCAATATATTTTCGGTGCTGATCCTAAAATTTTTAGATACTAAGCAATGAGCTAGTAAGTCTATATATTATCCAGTAGCCAAGCAGAGTAATCTACAAGCCCAGATAATTATTATTAATCCAAAACCCCACAAGCCTATGGACTAGTGAGTCCTAATTTTCAATATCGCCAGAGGCGAAGATTTTCTTGCTCCAGACAAGTGTTAGTTTTGAGCTCTGATTATTATCGTTAGTATGATTTCATTGTGGTACTGTATACACATGAAAATAAATAGGTGAAGATAAGCACGCTAATAAACACAACAACCCTAGAAAAAATCAGAGTACCAGGATGAGAATGGAACCCCCAACCTTCCAATTATCTAGACAGATAATCTACCACTGAGCTACTGGACAACTCTCAGAGAAATCATACGAGTCCAGTAGCTCAGTGGTAGATTATCTGTCTAGATAATTGGAAGGTCGGGGGTTCGATTCCCATCCTGGTACTCTGATTTTTTCTAGGGTTGTTGTGTTATTATTAGCATGCTTATCTTCACCTAGTATGATTTCCTTGTGGTACTGTATATTGCTTGCCATTTTGTTGGGTGGCAAGAAATAGCTTCAATAATTCACTAGTTTTTTTCATCTAAATTTTTAATCAGGTTTGAAGCAAGGATCTCATGTGGCAACCCCTTCACCACAGAAAGGAAAACAGCTAAGGATTCCTAAACCAACTCCAAGGTAAAGCTTTACAGGCAATGAATATAAAGTCTATTGGGTGAAGTCCATGGCATCTAGACAACCATTTTTTTTAGTTTTTTAAAAATCTAATTTCAAATCATATATACACTGAATCAGGTTTACATCAAATACAACCATAGAGCAAATGCGAAACCCACCCCAATGTGAGGCCCAACCTGCGAGCAAAGCGATCCGGTGTGATCCGTGACATTAAATCACGCCAGACCCCCCCGTACACAAGCCAAGCCCCACACCAGCGCGAGTCCCGCATCTGGTCCATGACTCACAAATTATTCGGATTACAAGTACATGATTGTATATATATATTTAGTTACTATTTTGTCCGCTAGGCATTCTGTTACTTATAACAAAAGACTAATGTTTTCGTATTTCTTTAGATGTGTGTACATTTGTTATATATTTTTTGCCATCTTATATTCTAGTATTTCATATTTTCTTATAATTTCCTGAGGAAATCTAGACAACCCATTGGGCATTACTTCACCAAGAGTCTATTTTTACTCAGTGGTAAAGCCTTCAACTAAAACATGGAAGGCTACTTAGCTGATCTGAGAAAAAATGTTAGCCAATCAGAATCGAGAATATTTGCAAAACTAAGGTGTCACTGTTCCTCTCGAAAAAATGGATTCCCAGGTCCCCAAATGAAAAAAATAATGTTGCTAATACACCCTTGATAACAGTGACACAATAATTAATGAGTTTTACATTTGTATTCCAATGGAAGAAATTTTTTTATTTTTCGTTGGCCAACTTTCGCAGGCTTCAGGACACCAGTTTTGCAGTTACGTCATTTCTACGTCACTATTTCATATCAACTGGATAGGTTCAATTCTCATCAAGGACTCTGGTTTTTCAAGTTCCCTTGGTTCTGTCATCACACACGGAATAATGTTCATCTCCTATTAATACCAGTTAAATTATTTTACAATATGTATAATTGGAATCCCTTTCATATTTCGTTAAGAGAGAATTCTTTTCCTAATCAAGCAGTGAGCGCCAAAAACTATTTTCTTGAAGAAAGGCTCTTGTACAAGGCTAAAGTCTTGTCATTCAGAAAGTTTAACTTGTTTGGAAGTGGAGATGACCGATGAAAGTGGAATCAAAGTGTTAACCCAAAGCAAAAATTTTATTCGAAAATGAGGTTTAGGCCTTCATTTGCTTATTTCCCTTATATTTCCTATTATATTTCCTATTAAAAAAACCTGACAAAGCAACATTATAACACAAATGCAACAAAACATCTTTGTACAATTGAAAATACTGCTTCAAACAGGCATTTTATCATAGTACATCAGTTTCTAATTGTATAAAAAAGGTTTTGAGTGTTACCCCGAAACGAAAATTGGGATCAAAACTCATACGAAAGTCTAGTTTTTTGGTGCTTTTTGCCATTATTTCCTGTTAATCTAATTTCTTTTTTGATTTCATAACAGGTTTCAGAAGTACCAACAGCAGCTGCAGCAGCGTCATGGTCAGGCAGGCCAACATACCCCTTCATCTGGCAGTCCTGGTGAAATCGGAGGGACAGGAGACCCAACTAAAGGTCCAGGAGATTTACCAAGAATGGGCTTTGATTCCGAACCTCTAAAATCGGAACCAATGGATATAGATCCAGGGGCAGCGGTACAGACAGTCAGTGTTGAGATGCCGCCAGCACCTCAGGAGACAGTCACACCTAAAGTAGGACCCGGAATAACTAGCCCTCCTGTCCAAGTGCAACATCGGCGTTCATCTTCTGGGAGTATATCAGGAAATGCGGATTCACTGAAGTTGCTGTTGGCTCAGCCACCAAAGGAGTCTACAAATGAGTCCTTACCTAAAAAGACTGAGTCTTTACCTAAAACGGTAGTTGTGTTTTTTTTTTAGTCCAGCTGCACACAGGCTAGGCACATAGTGTACATAGCTTAGTTATGAGGTAGTTCATTGTGACTTTGATTGCCCAGATTATAAGTTGTGTCCATCTTTTTGTCTGTCTGTCCGTCTGTCTGTATGTCTGTCTGTCTTTCTGTCTGTCTGTCTGTCACACTCATACACTTTCCATACCAAAAGAAGCCCAGTAATATAGTTTGCTTGGCTCTGTTAGATTAAATTTAGATCTTTTTTATTCTATTAGGGAACAGATACTGTCCATCCAACCCTGCCGACAACTCAGCCAAAAGACATTGATTATTCAATGTCAACAGCACCCACTGTCCAGGCAACACCAAACAAACAGCTTACAGATGGCAAGTCTTTTTTAGGTAACTATGTACTTACTGTAATCCATTTATTAAAGGGGCACTTGGATGAAAATCAGTGAAAATTGGAAATGACTTGACACTTGCTTAAACTTATCTATATGGCCCAGATAGTATCCAAGCAACATGTTTCCTTCACAGTCAAAAGTGGCGGGGGAAAATTATCAATTTTATTCAGCATCTAAATTTTGAGTAAATGACGTCATTTACTCAACCCTATTGTTCTTTTCGCTTTTAACCCAAAATATCTCAACAGCAAGTGGCTCCCAGGCTAAAATTTTCACTAATCTGATTTTCATAATTATAATTGAGTCATATTATCCTCAAATACTTCAATTATTTGGACTTTCGAAATCGGGCGTTTTCAGCCAAGTGCCCCTTTAAGCATTTAGTTATGATACTGAGAGTGGTCCTGAGGTAGAAATGGTAATTGGCATTTGCTTGTATAGAGGCTTTGCACCATCACGTGATGGCAGCCGTGAGAGGAGGCAGGAACAATTGAATCTGGTCTAATCTGATTTACATGAGAAAGAATTCAGTTTCCCAGGGAAGAAAGACTCTATTGTTATACCTCCTGTCGTGGCTGCCATCACGTGATGGTGCAAAGCCTCTATTACTGAAATGGGATTTGAATGAGCTTAGGTCTCTAGAAATGTAATAAATGTGTAGCCAAAATCTGACCTTTTTAAATGAAATAGCAGTCATTTATGTGATCATCGGAGCCATGGCAAAGGTCTAGTCATTATTTTATAGTAAAGGTGGCACCTTCTCCTCAGATCTCTTAAGACCCTGATTGTTGGTGAGCTTGGGACTTGAACCACGACCTACTGCACAACAAACTGATCCTCAACTAACTGAGCCAACTGTGTAAGCCAACTGTGTGGTAGTTATTTTTTTGCAGCTACAAGTCTGACAAACTAGATTGCCTACAACATTTTTGAGGTTCCTTATGATCCGCTAAACACAACTAGGTCATTAGGCAGATTAAGATTCACGTTTTTCCTTCCCGCAAACGGCAAACATGACCATGTTTTCATCGTTTCCCTACATTTCACTTTACCTTTTGCAAACCTTCCCAACAAATACACATTCTTTTGTTTATCTACTACTTAGAGATTTTTGCGATTCCTTTTCACTAATTTTTTAAAGAATTTTTTAATGGTCAACTGACGTTTCACATTTGCCGTAAACGAGAATCTTAAACTCTCTATTCTTGAGAAACGTTGGGGATAAACTAGTAGTTTATTTAATTATTTATTAGATGTTACAATTCTGAATATTTCTTTTTTAAGGTCAAAAATCTCCTATGGAAAATCACAAGGTGGAGTCCATAAGAGATAGAGTGACGCCTGCAGCACCTTCCATTACAGCACCAACACTATCGAAGCTGTTATCATCTACGCAGTCGCCATCACCCAATACTACCGCCTTGCTTAACAACTTGTCTGTTTCTAACTCATTTATTGAAAAGGTACATAACACCATTATAGAGCTTTTATTGGTGTCTCACTTGTATTCAACTTCAGGGTTCAAAATGAAGGGCAGTTCTTTAAAATATTTCTGCTTCTGCATAAGAGGATATGTTTTCCAAAGTTTTTAAAGTTTCTGGTTTTGATGAGAAACTTTTTCGCTTTATTTAGCAGTTTTTGTGAGCAGTATGACCTGGAAATATGTTACAACTTAAAAGGTCTAAAGGCTGTCTGCATGATGACCTCATTTTACTATGAATACCAGAATACTTAGCAAACCTTCAAGTTTTATTGCCTATTTTTGTTGTAAGAATATTAAAACAATTGGTGCTAATTATTAACTGAGTAAACGAAAGTGTGCAAGGGATTCTGGTAGTTGTAGTAAGTGATGGTTTAACAAAGATTGCCTGTGGTCCTTTGTTTCATTCAGGAGCCAAGGGCGGATCCAGCCAAAGTTTTAGGGGGGGGCTAATTGAGTTTAGGGGGGTTAATTGAGTTTCTTCCGTCAACACAACCAACAACAATAAAAAAAGCATGTCATTCTTCAGTTTTGTTTTTTTGGTTTTCTACTGAAGGGGGACCTCAGCCCCCCTTTGCTCCCCCCCCCCCTGGATCCACAAATTGGAAGCACATGACAAAAGTTTTTTTAAAAAGGTTCAACCTCGTTATAAAAAAAAAGTTCCGCATTTCAGACCATGTGTCATTCATTCTCTTGAGAATAGACTCTTAAGATTCTTTGTTGAGTTGCATCCATATTTATGTGTCTTCTTATGCACAACCACTAAACAAAGAAATGATACTCTAGGGAATGACACATGGTCTGTAATGGGGGAACTTCTTTTTTAATAACTAGGTTAAAAAAGTTTTTTTAAAAGACTTTTGTCATGTGCTCCTGAATGAGACAAACGACCACAGGCAATTTTTATTAAAGCATCACTTACTACGACTGTCAGAATCCCTTGCACACTTTCTTTTACTCAGTCAATTAGCACCAATTGCCCTATTTCATTATGATGTCACTGCTTGTTTATGTGGGGGATAGAATCACCAAATCCAATAGAAGATTCAAAATTTGCTCCTAGCAAAACAGTTTAATCTAAAATGGCCTAGTTTTCAGATATAATATGTGTTAATATGTACTAAAAAATATTCTGAGCGTTTGCTGGCTATTCTACTTCTCTTCGTGGACTGTTCCAGTTTTAGAACAATCTTTGGTGAATTTGTGTTGATTTGAACCCCTCTGACGACCATGATCCTTTGCGTTTAAAAACAATATATTGTTTTGATGTGACGTCATAGTAAAATAGGGCAATTTTATTGTTTTAATATTCTTAAGATAAAAATAGGTATAATTTTTCATCTCTAAAACTTCATTATCCGGGATCAATAGATCGCAAGTGTTTTGTAATGTTTTTTTTTTCAGCCTCTGTCTTCAAAGGCTCTTGACAGTAACATCACTATTAGTTCTGACATCTCTGGATCAGGGAGAGGAATGATTTCTGTTGGTAAGAACAATTCCTTTTTTTTATAATTAAGGAACACTTTACAAAAGGATGTCATTTTCCACATCATCCCTCCTTACCCCAAAAATAAACTCCTATAACAATTCACCTTTTCGGCGCTAGCTTGGATTGTGTTACGGTCACCAAGAAGTTCGGACATTGTTGTTGGATTTCCATACAAATCCACTGACTTTAAAGAGAAAATCTAGGTAGATTTCTTTAGTTAGCTATCTTAACAGCAGTAGGAAAAGCTTCAATCAAGCTAGAAAAATGATTATTTACTTGTATTTTGAGAACTAACTAAACATTAACCAAGTAAATAGTTCATTTAGAGTCAGTACATTTGTACAGAAATTCAAGAACAATGTCCGAATTTTTTGGTGACCATAACACAATCTAAAACAATTTATACCCAGATATACAATTTATAAACTAAAATATCAACTTTGAATGTAATTTGTTGTGAAATGTGATCATCTGGGTGAGTGTAGTCTTGAGAAAGACTGTTGTTGGTGGTGACTGACGTTTTGACAACCTGCGAGCGGAAGTCATCTTCATGGTAATGAATGTAATTATTTGTAATTTGAACGTAATTTCAGGTGGCAAAGATGAAGATAGTGGTGTTGCAGTTACAACTATTTCTGTTAATCCTAAAGTGAGTGCCCGTGGTTCATATTTACTATTACTTTAGGATTGATCATTTATTTAGCAAGTCGTTGTTAAAAACTTGCCCTTGTTGTTTTACGAGAGTAACACCCTACTTAATATCCAGTGGCTGACACAGCCACTTGACCTTGTTTCATGACCAAATTGGAATTTTAGACATTGTTTTTTGTAGAGGGAGGAAAACTGTCTGGAGAATCCAGAGAAAAATCCTAGTAGCAACTACAGTGCGAATCAAAAAACTGCACTAAGAATTCACGATTTGGTATCTTTTAGGGTGTTAAATGTGAATTTTTGAAAATCAGCATTTTCTGGTATCTCTTAGGGTGTCGGAAAAGGAGAGAAGCGTGCATCGATATGGCTTATCCTAGGCACTTAGGGGTTAAAAATCATTCAGCCACGCCCTTTTTTAAAGACTCCCGGTATCTTTTTGGGGTCTTTTTGAAAATTTCCAACAAGCATCCCTGGTACTTTTTTCCCGAAGTCCCCCCCCTGGGCACAAGATAATGAAAAGATAACAATAACGCTTCTGGTTGGTTAAGAAACATTCTTGAAATATTTCTAGGTGTCCACGGTTTTTTGATTTGCACTGTAACAGTCAACTTTACTCAAATGTGACAAAGGTCTCTGCAATGAATTCTGGGTGCCATTGGTGTGGTGAATAAATGAAAGCAGTTGTAATTAGGGTGTAGTGTACACATGATAACGTAGTTCCAAAAAAAGGGAAACGTACTGTAGATATTACCTATAATGATGTTGTGACTGATTACAGGTAGCCATCAGTGATACAATCCCGTCACCAATAGCCATGACGCCCCCACCCATGACTCCGCCCGCTGAGAAGAAGGTTAGTCTTGATGACCTTAGTTGTTTGGTTGTACAATAGAAGTGATGTGGAAATCTTTATATTATTGTCCAGGAAATCATACCTGAACCGTTGGTAAAAATAGTAGAACCTGCTCCACCGCAAACTGATAAAAAAGATATCGAAGACATTACTACAAAAGAGGAAACAGAAGATATATCTGTGACGGGAGGAGGTGCAGACCACACCCTACAGCCTGAAATTAAGATTGAGATAGTAGACACCCCACAGCCATCGCCAAGAGTGACAGGACGAACCAGGGCACCTAAACCAGGAAGACCAGGTATAATATGATTCTATATAACTAACTTATGGTGCTCTTTAGGAGAATTTTGAGTTTGATTAGTGCAGAGAAAATCTATAGAGAAACATTTTTTGGAAGACTTATATATTACAGTTCCTTCGCTACTTTACCACCATTTGCATGGCTAAGTGGCACCCCAGACAAAAATCGCAATGTGCACTTTGCAATCGACTGCTGTCATTCAAACACGTTGACGTCATTTACACGCATTTGGATCGGCCCGGATAGGCCCAGTGAGTGTGGCTCATAATACTTGTAAATAATTGACCAAAGTTTTGGCACCTTTTGAATCACACATGCATGTAAATGAAGTCAACATGTTTGATTGACGGCAGTTGATTGCAAAGTGCATGTTGAGATTTTTGTCTGGGGTGGCCGTGTAGCAATGCAAATGGCAGTAAAAGATTGGGCAACTTTCTCTTGAGCTAGATAATGGTTTTAAACTAATTCTAATTTAGGACGTCCAAGAGGACGAAGAAGTCAGCGTCGCTCCAAATCTGTAACATCCACAGTAAGTTTTCAAATTATCTGTACATGATATCTGTAATACAGGCAATTCATTATAATTATGAATGTAAACACTAGCACTTCCGCTCTAATTGGGGACACTTTTCACTCACACACACTACCACTACATACAATGTTCTATGCACACAGTGCTCAACTCACATGTTGATTTTTAACAGAGTGAGGAAACCGGAGAACCTGGAGAAAACCCTCGTAGAATAGGAGAAAACAACAGGTCAACAAACTTAATTTCTCACGTGGTGACAACAGGGCTCAAACCAGCGACCCAACCTGTTGGACTCACAGCAGTGAAAAATGACGCATTAGCAGCGTACGCCACCCATACTGCCCTTAAATGTCACTTTTTTCATTTTATTAACTTGAATAATTATTACAGATTATTGATTCACATATTTTTTTCTTTCTTTTATTATTTTAATATTATTTTAGGACAATGAAACAGAAATGGAAGAAGAAAAAGAAGAGGTATCAGTTAACAGTAAATTAAAAATGGGTCCCTTTTTTCTTTTTACTCTTTTAATTCCATTCCATTCCCATATTTCCATCTTTTCTTTCACATCCTTTTCCTTTTTCTTCATTTTGCTCTGATTTTTTCTCTTCTCTTTTTCATTCTTTATTTTCAACTATTTTCTTAGCTTTTCATTCCATTCGCATTTTAACTAATTTCTTTTAGGTGTATTGATCATCATCTCAGTTCTTTTTTTCCTTTGTTTCTTCCTTGATTCTTTACATCTTTCTTTCTTCCTTCCTTCCTTCCTTCCTTCCTTTTTTTCCTTTCTTTCTTTCTCTCTTTCTTTCTTTCTTCCTTTCTTTCTTCCTTTCTCTCTTTCTTTCTTCCTTTCTTTCTTTCTTTCTTCCTTCCTTCCTTTCTTTCTTTCTTTCTCTCTTTCTTTCTTTCTTCCTTCCTTCCTTCCTTTCCTTCTTCATTTATTCATTCCTTCCTTTCTTTGTAATTTTCATTACATTTTAAACACTCTTCTAGGATACCAAGTCTGAAACAATTGAAGTAGAATCAGAAAAAGCAAGTGAAAAAGATGAAGAAGATGAAGACATGGAATCAACCATAAGTGAAAAGAAAGACGACAGCGAAGAAGAAGAAGAACAAGAGAGCATAGATGATGGCTACTCTGAATCTGGTGATCGCTCTAAAGAGGAATCATACCTTGATAGATCAAGTACTGTGGGATCAGAGTCTGTACCAGCCAGTCCAGCTTCACAGACTTCTCAAGGGTATGGGTATGATATTGATGTGTGGTATATATTGGCTTTGAAATTGTGAGAGAATTCATTCATCGTCATCATCATCATCACTTGCATTACCACCACCACCATCATCATCACCAGCATCATCATAACCATTATGAACACCACCATAATCATCAACTGCATCCTCATCATCAACACCTGCATCACCACCACCACCATCATCATCACCAGCATCATCATAACCATTATGAACACCACCATAATCATCAACTGCATCCTCATCATCAACACTTGCATCACCACCACCACCATCATCATCATCACCACCATCCATATCATCACCATCACCATCATCACCACCATCATCCTCACCACCATCATCACCACCACCATCATCACCTTCATCACCACCACCATCACCACCACCATCATCATCATCAATATCATTACAAATTGCATCATCATCAACATCGTCCCTAACTTGTTTTTTCATCGTTTTCTTAGTGACATGGACACAGAGTCAATCCAAGCACAAAAAACATGGAAGAAATCCATCATGTTAGTGTGGCGTGCTGCCGCAAACCACAAGTGAGTTGGTTCTCTTACTGTAGTCATACTCTCTTAGTATTGCAAGACAGTAGTGAAGACTGCTAAAAAWTTTTTTGAATTTTTGTTGATTATTATTAAGGTATGCAAATGTGTTTCTTCATGCCGTCACTGATGATGAAGCTCCTGGCTACCACAACATTGTGTTCAGGTAATAATTAATGAAGTGTCATAACTTACAATAAAATCTTTGTCATGACACGGAATGTAATGCAAAGAGATTGGAATGGGAGGGGCGCTTCTCAATCACATGTGTGAAATCGTACAATTTGCCATCAGGACAAAGGTTTTGGTGGACATCAAGCAATGCATTTCGATGACATTCCATAGGCACGTGCCCTTAAAAGCTTTGTGTTTTCCGACAATGCTTGGAAACACTTTGATTGGCGTCTACCAAAACTCTATTATGTCTTGAAAAACATTTTCACGATTTCTCGCGTGATTGAGAAGCGCTGTAATGACAGACTTAAAGATACATATGTATGCATGTGTGAGCTATGTTTATATGGTTTCTTTCTTTACAGACCAATGGACTTGACCACCATCAAGAAAAATATAGAGAATGGAGTAAGTTATGTTTAATTAGGATCTAGATTATCACTGTGCTGCTCTTGTTTCTACATTAACTTATATTTACACTCATCACTCGGACCCAGTAAGAAGCTCTTCTGTGAGGTTTGCTCCACACACACTAGAGGACTCATATGTTGATTTTTCATAGGAGGAAAACTGGAGAACCTTGGCCAAGTTGTACGAAGCCTGGAATCTTATCCAGTGGATAAATTTATTGGATAATAGCATTGACTTATCTACTGGATAAGGATTTATACGCCGGATAGCGCTATCCAGGCTTCATACACCTGGGCCCTGTAGATAAACCCTTGTGGCAAGGGAGAGAACAACACATTAAACTCAACTCTATATCATTAGCAGGGCATGCTACCCCTAACTCTTCAAAAATTTACACCCCAATCTGCATACTACCTTCAGTTTAGACTTTAAACCAAACACAGAATGCAGTGGCATTCATCAGGGCTTAAAATATTAACCTTTAAGTTGCCAGTCATGATGACAGGCCAAAGTAATTTTAGCTCGGTCATACCTCATTCCTGGCCCAATGTTACTGGTCAAAATTACCAGCAAGGCAAAAATTTGACTAGAAAAGTTTAATTCTGGCCAAACATTGTCCATTGACTGACCATTATTTTAAACCCTGTTCATAATATGTTTTGATGATAAAATATGATTTCCAGACCATTAGAACAACTAGCGAGTTCCAGAGAGACATGATGTTGATGTTCCAGAATGCCCTGATGTACAACAGTTCTGACCATGATGTGTAAGTTGAGTTCCATGTACTAATGTGATAATGTATTTGGGGCAATGGTACACCAACTGGTTCATAGAAACAGTATTCAAAAAGCCTCATTATTTACTCATGGTGTACATGAAAGCTATTTTAAATTTGTATTTTCAAAATGGCCAGCATTTGGTATTACTAGTTACAACAAAAACACTCAAATACCTTACCTGACGTCACCATCATTTAACATATTGGATAACTTAGAGACACATCACTCAAATCAAGAAATGTTTAACCAATTAACCATTTACTTTATGCAGAAGCAGTACTGAAAGTATTGTTGCACTTTAATCTTACAGATACAGGATGGCCGAAGAAATGAGGGATGATGTGATGGATCAGATTCAGGTAACAAAGCTTAACTGTACCCAAAACAAACCATTAGCATTATAGAGGCTTTGCACCCTCACATGATGGCAGCCATGAAAGGAGGCAGGAACAATAGAATTTGGACTAATCTGATTTACATGAAAAAGAATTCAGTTTCCCAGGTGTGAATTTTAACAGTCTGTTGTTGTGCCTTCGGTCGTGGCTGCCTTTTCGTGTCTGCCTGTTTCGGATTCCCAAATTGGGAATTTGTTGGGAATTTCTTTGAATTCCCAACGAATTCCCATCCAATTCCCAGAGAGAACAAAAGTGGGAACGTGGCATTGATTCCCAATGTTAGTTTGTTGGGAATTTTGTTTTTCTATTGGGTATAAGAAGGAAATTCCCAACAATAAATCCCAACGTTGGTGTTCGAATTGGGAATTCAAGGCAATTTCCAACAATTCCCAATTTGGGAATCCGGGTTTTTTTCCTGTGGCACAAAGCCCCATGTTTTACCACTAGTCTACCAGAATTCCTTATTTTTTTGTTCAGTTCATTAGCACCGATTGTCTTACCATTCTCATGCAGCAATATAGAAATTGGAATTATGAGTAACTCATTAACATCCTTTTTATGATTTTCATTTGATTCACATCCTTATTGCAGTCATATATAGCAACACAGCTAATGGTCCAGTCATCTGACAGGGATTCCACAAAGATGCTACGAGGGCACAGGACCGATGGTAAGATGCTATCCTTATTATCTCTTTAAAACAGACCAACTTACCTTAAACTATATCATGAGATGCCACAACACTGTCAGACCCCACAAGTACCATGTTTCCCCACATTTAAAACTGCAGATTTATATGTACATGTAAAGATATATGAAATATACGAGAATGGAAAAAGGCTTAACATTATTAGAAATCAATGTGACATATCAAGTAATAATAATAACATAATCAATAAACTGATCTAAAATCTTAATTCATTAATCAATTAAAATGTAAAAGCTGTTAATTAAAAGTTGATTTTTTTGGAAAATCTTGGATAATTCTGAAACAGTATAATTGGGTTTTAATTCTGGACTAATATACAAAATTTAAATCTCATACCTTGATGTTACAATACTTGATGATGATTCAGGATGGTCATCATTATAATAGGGTATCATGATGATGGTGGTGTTGATGATGATGATGATTTTGGAAATGGTGATGGTGATGATAAGGATGGTGGTGATGATGATGGTGATGTTGATGATAATGATGATTTTGGTAATGGTGATGGTGATAATGGAGGTGATGATGATGGTGATGAAAATGGTTTTGGTGATGATGATGTTGATGACAATGATGGTTTTGTCAATGGTGATAATGGTGGTAATGATGATGGTGATGTTGATGATAATGATGGTTTTAGTGATAATAATGTTGATAATGGTGGTGATGATGGTCATAATCGTGATGATGGTGGTGGTGGTGGTGGTGGTGGTAATTATTGTTGTAATACTAATGGCAGTGGTAAAAATAATGATGGTTGTGATGATAATGGTGGTGGCAATAATGATGATGGTACTGATAATTGTAATGATGGTAAAAATGATAATGAAGATTAAATTTATAAAAAATAATTTAGAATTTTTAGCACTAAGTACATCACCTAATATAAATCTTGCACTCACATAATAACTTAACAAGGCCAATGTTCAATACAATTTACAAACTAATAATTCTCAAGCTAAACAGTTTTTTCACCTAAACCCTTCTAAACATCTTTTTATATCTAGTTTTTTACCATTTCTTTCCAGTTTTTCACTTTTTCCTGTGAAACACTCTTCCTTGTTTAGGAAGTATTTTTGGTAAGTCTTCGAAGCATGTGCAATGGGATGTTGTTGCCTGTGGTTGAAATATGTAGAATTTTTGGTACACGATTGTTGTTTCAAGAAGGTAGAAGGAAAGAAAAAAATGAAAGGAAGAATAAAAATGTAAGCAAAAGTAAGAGAAAAGCAGGAAAGAAAGAATTCAAAAAAAGAACGAGGCTACAGAGAGAAAAAGGAGAGAAAGAAGACTAAAGAAAAAGTGGAAAATAAATGAAAAATGAAAGAATAGGAAAGAGAGGAAAATACAATTTTTTTTAAAAAAAACAACATACTTAGAAACAAATTTTTCTCCCCTACCATCCTTCTTTATACTTGACCCCATACATATTTAAAGGCCAGACAGCTAAACTTATATTAGTCACACAAAGACCACCATTTGTAAGTTCCAATTATGGTCGAAATACATGTCTAATGATAAGGCAAAAATACTTTAGTGGCTTGGTACTACTCTAATTAGATTTTGTAAAGTGATTTTCTTCTGCCTTTGAAATAGTTAGTAGACTTAACTAGAGGTTAGCAAATCATAATTACTGATCTTATCAAAATCCATTGTTTTCAGTCTGCATTATCCCAACAAATGCAGAGGAAAATCAGACATATTTAGTTCAGTCATTATTGGCTTTGTTTCTATGATAAACAAGCTAGAAAGAAAACAATTGGATTTTGACAAGATCAATAATTATACTAGATAATTACTGAGGCACGCAGCATTCGTAGGTATAATGCAGCGAATGCTGCGTGCCTCAGTAATTATCTATTAATTATCCCCATTGTTTTGATTGTGCATATCTGACTATCATACACTATCTGCAGAATCATAGCCACTATAGCTCCTAAAATATCACAAATTCCCCTTAAAGGAGATCACTCTCAATTTCAATATTTTCCAGGATGTGTGCTCCCAAACCTCCTAACTGCTCTTTCCTTTGCTGCTCATTTGCCTCTGTAATGGCCCTAAACTGCTTAACTGTTTCATGATCCGAGGAAAATCATTTTATTATGCATGCTAAATGTTGTGTAGCTTGACTTTTGATAATAATCTTTGTACACAGGCAAAGGAGTGTCCCAAGTTGGAACCAGAGTAAGAACCAGTACTCAAGAAAGACCTCACAGGAAATGACCAATCATCTTGACTGTGTCAGGAATCAAGGTTGTCGAGATCCAATGTATTTGAAGCGCTCCAATACATACGTCGCTGTCATGGTTGTTTGATGTATGAAAATCAATATATAAGGAATTAGGCTTGTTTGGAGATCACTCAGTAGCTGAAGAGGTACAACTGAATGGGCTCTTGCACATGAAGTCCACAGGGTGTCAAAGTCCAATTGTTTGCCCCTAAGGCCTTGCAGCATAGGACTCATTTTACTACTCGAGTGCAAACAATATAACCGTGAAACTTAAATTACTAAATAGTACAAAATAGTGCTAATTAAACAACAGAATTTGCATAAAACTGCACTATTTAGTATCACTAAAGCTTCACAGTTATATTGTTTGGAATCTAAAGGGTAAAGAATATTGCTAGCCAATAAGAAAACGAGATTGTAACATACCCGTGTTCTTAGTTCCCCTCGCACTAGTGTCAATTCAATGTCTGTAGAGTTTTCATTTCAAGGCAGAAAGTGCTGTAAAATTTTATGGTCAATAAAACTGTCAAGTTTTAAGGCTTTGTATTCTATTTTGCTCTTGTAATGTCTTGGAAAGGTATGGCAGTACTGGCGTCAAGCAAACAAAACCTCAATAGTCCCCTTCATAGTTCCTTCCTGTGCCATCTTGAAAGGTAGTCGTACCTTTTCATGGATGAACGGTGAGCTTGCAATGATAGAGATGTGAATAATTGTACAAGGTGTTAAAAAAGGTCTCTTTCATTGCAAGCTCACCATTCGTCTCGCTTCGATGCAAAGGCATGGCTTGCTTTCAAGATGGCGCAGGGAACTGTGAAAGGGACTATTATAAACAGCCTCGAGGGTGATCTAAATTGACTTGGATTAAATTTTTGAAGAGGCAAAAATCAAAACCATGGACGAGCTTTTGTCACAAGTGCTTTGCATTTCTTCCTTACCCCTACCCCCCAATTTAGACTTGGCAATTACTAATTATTGGTTGAAATTAATACGTCATTTCCAAACCAATAACAACTTAGGAAGTACCAGAACCCTGGGTTCCTGTCGCTTCAGTGTTTAAACCTACGAATGAGAAGCACTGGAGTGAGACAGCCTCAGGAATTCCAAAGTTTAGATTAAGGAGAACTAGTCTCCTAAGTAGCTGCTATTAGTGCCGTCATGCAATGCTCACTGCATGATGATACCAATAGCAGCTGTGTAAAGGCCGGTTTAGACGGTACGATTTTCGCCTACAACTATCATATACAACGCACTTGCGTCTGTCGTAGGCGAGTCGTAGGCTTGACTTACGTAATCCGGCCTTAAGAGGCCAGCAGAAAAACTTCCCTACTTACAGCTGTTAACAGTGAGTCAAGGGCATTTTTATAATAAACGTTTATTACATGGATTCAAATAGGGTAATGAAACTAAAAAAATCAACATCAGTTATTCAATATCATGGTTACTACAAGAGTATAAGGCTATGTTCCTTGGTTCCTTTATGAATGACAATACTGTTAATATTAAACCTTGGTAATGTTAACGTTAAATAATATTATGGTAGACTGCATACTAACATCCTTGAAAACGTTGTAAGATATTGTACAAATTTGCACAAATTAGCAAGTTAAGTAAACCATATTGAATCATGCTTGGTTAAGTTTATGCATCGATAGTTGTACATCAAAATGTAATAATGCATGTAACTTTGCACTAATTTGTACAATTGTTACTCAAGTTTTTTTAAGGATATAAGGTATACACTCTAGCACAGGTATAAGCTGATCCTATTAAAGAAAATAAAAAACAATGCACGTTTGTCTAAGAAGTCTTGGCTCCCATCTAAAAAAGAACTCGTGAAGAAAACAAAAAATTAGGGCCATCCTAAATAATTTCTATCTATATGTCAACACCCTAAGATCTATGTCCTGCCCTTCGCACTCCTTCTGGCTACTGTTCTAGTATAGTGGAAGGAAGGGTTAATAACAGACTTATGCTTGAGTTAACACAAATGCTGCATATGCAGACCTCTAGTAAAGATCGAGTCATTCTAAAGTATATGAAGGGTGAAAAATCTTAACCCTGGTATAGTGGAAGGAAGGGTTAATAAGAGACTTATACTTGAGTTACTTAACACAAATGCTGCATATGAAGACCTCTAGTAAAGATTGAGACACACTAAAGTAAATGAAGGATGAAAAATCTTAACCCCAGGTCAGTACTTTCTATCATTTCATCTCTTCTAACTTGGAAGATTTGACTTTAGATACTTAAAAGTGGCAGTGCATCTATTCAGGGGTAGGGCTTCTGCTGCGTCCTTCCCGTTCATCCTCTTGTTCCTTGCCTCTCTCACTTGCTGGAGATTCAGATCTTGACGCTGATCTGGATGGAGATCTGGCAGGGGTTGGAGAGCGTGATCCTGACTTGGATCTTGAGCATTTTTCACGTCTTGGCTCTCTCCTTGATCTGCGATCATCTCTATCGTGTCTTGGGGAACGGGAGCGGGATCTTGAGTGGGATCGGCGTCTGCTACGTCTGGAACAAATAAATGTATATTTTACCTAAAGGTTCTTGAAAAAAGCTTGAGAGAAAAACAGAAAAAACTGTGGCACCATCTTGAAATAAGGGAGCCTTAAGGACTTTTTAATTTTTTCTATGGGAGAGGGAGGAGCCTTTTTGGCACTTTTTTTTTCTATGGGGGAAGGGGGATTAAAAATTAACCCATGACTTATCCAAATAGTAAACACTCTTAAATTTGAAAAACTTAAATATACATAAGTCCCACCTTGGAGATCGGCTTCTTTCACGGCGCCTGAAAATAACAGTCAAAACATTTAATATCTATTCCTAATGAATTAATAAATTAACAAATAACTACTGTGTTGACACTAACCGGGACTACTTGAATAAAGCCGAAAAATCAGATAAAAGTGAATTAAACAGAAATTGAACTGATAACATTGTTAGCCAATCAGATTATCATGTTCTCATGCTCTTTATATATCGATGTGCTATCTGATTGGCTGGTTAAACATGTTGAACTAAATGTTGCAATATGATTTTTTGATTTTTTCACCGCAATCAAACTACCTTCATTCAGAAGGTACGACTCCACTACATGTTTCATTTACAGGAAGCAAAAAAGCGTGACAATAGCAAAGCTCTCAGAAGCTTACAACTCTTTCCATTCAAWTGAGAGAAATCATACAATTTTTGATACGACGAAATAAGGTTTTGGTAGACGTCAGTCAAAGTGTTTTCATAACTTCATTGAAAGAAATACAAAGTTTTCAAAGGCATGTACCGATGGAATTTCATGGAAACACCTTGATTGATGTCAACCAGAACCTACTTCATCACAACGGCAAATTGTATGGTTTGGCTCCAGTAATAGGGAAGCCCTGTTAATGCTGTGGCATTTTATGAGCATCAAATCATAAGAAAATACTGTAATTTGTAAATTTGCCCCTGGATGCCTCGTTTTCACCCAGCCGTGCGCCATTTTGAACTTAGGTGCATAGGGCATTAAGGTTCAATCTAACACATCACAACTAATAAGTCAGGTAGATTTTCGATAGAGTCATTATTTAACAGATTATTCAAATATTTTACCTTGGGCTTCTGCTTCTTGATCTTCTCCTGGAAGAAATTTCAGAAGAAAATTCATGTTAGACAAACCCACGTGAAAAAAAGGCCAAACTTGCTCAATTATGAAATTTGAGCAGCTTTGGCCATGTCCACACTAATGCATTTTCAAAATGTCTATTTTTTGCCAACATGAAGACTCAACAAAAACTTTGCATCAACAAGAAAAACGATTTGATGGTGTTTAGGAAAAACACTGATATGATTGAAAATGATGCAATGTTGTCATCTGCTCATTGAAAAAAACAGAAATGTCAGTGTGAATGACGACGGCATTTTCCAAAGCCTCTGTTTGCTGTCCACACTAATATGACAGGCCTCTGCTTTCAAATGTCTTCACTTGCTCTGGAGAGTGTTTTCAAATGCATGCTCGGCATCGAAAGTATTGAAAAGTACGTGTTTGTAATACAGTGTACTCAGACCCTTTTAACATAATTCAAACTAATAAACTCATAAAATTAATATTTATACCTTGGGCTTCGGCTTCTTGACCTGCGCCTGTTAGGTAAATATTGATTAAAGTAGTTTTTTAGTTTCAAAGAACATCAAATGGTTCAGGGTTTGTTTGTGTTGAGGCATCAAATTAAAATTCAAGGACCAAAAAAATTTTTTTTCAAGGAGTATGTTCAGCTAACTACATGTAAGCCACATGTTGTTTGCACATGGCCGACTTTCCGAGTCGTTTCCAGCACCCCTCATAAAAGGGAATTAACATCTGGTTGATATTGTATTTTGCATATAGTTGTAGCGCGATCAATATAGAAACATATCAAACAATTTTGGATGACTAGATCTATTTCAGAACCATGCAAGTAGCAACCAAAGCAGAAATTCAAGGAGTTTTGCTAAAATCGTAAAGTAGCCGAGTGCCTCTCGATACTTCTCCAGTGTTCTGTCAATCCCCAAGTGCTTAACAACTAAACGAAGCACAGCTTTTATTTCTTTAATAAAATACAAATTACAAAAACCGTTATTTTGGATAGGAATGACGCAACTGAAAGTGTGCACACATGCTGTGTGCTCTCAACCAATGAGAATGCGACATTTATAATATCTTATGATAGTTAATAAGAGCTTCCGACCCAATGCCGCTATTAGTATTACAAAATATGAGTGCTAATAATATGTCTCAAATACCTGTCATCTCTATAGTCTTCAAAAGAGCCCTTAGTTCTCCTCTCCTTGTTCCTCATGCTAGATGGTGCTGTAATAAATTGGATAAGTTTTCAATTATTATGATGCACCATGGATGTTCATTGGGCTACATGTGGCAAACTGTCGCACAACATTTGTTGGGTTCAGACTTTCTTTTTTGATGGAAGCAGGGGTGGTAAAGCGGTGAGAGTGCTCGTCTCACCAATGCGACCCAGGTTTGAGTCCTGCCATGCTTTGTGTCGTACGTGAATACAGTTTCTAGCTGGTTATCTCATGTGCTTCGAGGGTTTTTCTCCAGGTTCCCCCCTCTGTAAAAGTTATTTTCTAAAATCCAATTGGAATCCAGTGGAAGAAGAGCCAATCTGCAGAATCCACTGTTAATCTCATTATCTATATTCTTAAAATATTTTCTAAAGGTCTGTAAAAGGTATATTGAGGGATCTTACTTTTACGGTCCCCTTCAGCAAACTGCACCTCTAACTCTCTGCCCAACAGTATGGCCCTGTCCAGGAAGTATAAGGCATCTTCTGCATCACGTATATCTTCAAATGTACCACTCGTTAAGGTGTCTATTACCATGGAAGCTTGTATTAATCATACCTAAATCTTTGCAATCATTCACGACAACGGATAACGATCACTTTGCTTTATCTTTGGTGACCTCTAAATCAAAGGACTTGTTTGGACCAAATCATTATCATTTAGTCGGCAACGTGGTTGCTTTGCTTTCGTTTAACCTTGTCTGTTACAAGTTCTTGAACTCTATCTTTTATGTTAACTTTTGATGCTGCCTATCTTGTGTAGCTCTCAGGCCGATTAAAATCAAAATCAAAAGCCTTGCTTGGTACCTTTATCAGTACTTTGATCTTTCCTGTGATAACTTGAAATTGCTTTGCTTTTATCTTATTTTATTGGTTTAACCTCTGGTTTATTCTGTCGCCTACCTTGAAAGCTAAGTGGAATGAACTCTAACACCCTTGTATACTTGTGTATTGCAACCTTGCCAGGCTGGAACACCTTGAACCTACTTTCTTTTAATTCTTAACCGCTTTTTGGAATTAACTTGAAACCTTAACACTTGCCGCTGACTTGCCTTGACCGAACCGCCTTGACCTGCTGCTTTTATCCACAAATCAAAAAGTAACCTTATGCAATGAATGGCTCTTTGAAACTTTACGCTTTGTCTTGGTAGACTTTTACTTTGATTGCCTTTCTTTGCCTTGAAAAAATTTCTTTTTACTTTAGCTTGTTTAAGCCTTCAAAGAGAATATGCAAAACATTTTTATATTCTTTTAAGCATCATTAATGTTTGAAAAGATTAATGATATAGTTTTTTCACTATTAACAACAAAGCCTAAAATCAACTTACAGACTCTAAGGAACCTTTACTTGAAAATACATGCAACTTGGATTCGCTTGCTTGTTAGGACCAAAGGTTTTAATTTTGCGCTTGGCATTGGCTTGAGAGCTTGGCAAATGCCCTTTGACCTTGTTTTGGCTACTTGACAAGGAGGAACAAAGATGCTTGGTCGTTTAGTCTAATATCTTTGCCTTTGTCTTTGACTAGAGCCCTTTTTACTTGGCTTGGCTTTTATAGAGTTTTAGGACCTGAGATTGTACAATAAACATATAAATGAATACAAAAATCAGGCATGAATTTAGAAAATATTTTGCTACAAAAGGAAGCCTTTTTTAACATTCAACTCTCTGGGGTATATCTATGCGTATGAAGTCTATAATAAGAAGCCGACTGCAATATTTAGTTAGGCTTTAAGGCAACAAATGTAAATGAAAATATCAAAAATAAGATTATAATAATTTTATAACTAAAAACTGTAGCTCCCAACATCTCCGCCAGACTAATGATTGAAGTGTGTCAACAGGATTGATTACTGTAAGATGTGATGTGACATGACATGTTTCCTTTAAGACATGATGTGATAGTTGCACTGTCTGACTATCAAGAGCAAAATTCAGATGTTAATGCATCATTAATGTCACATGATGAAAAAACTTTATCTTTGCCATTACTAGGTCCAAATGTGGTGAATTTGGTTGAGAGACAGCGCCACAGACCTTTTCTGAGATAACGAACAAGGTGTATTCTGGTCTAGCTTGAGTACAACTTCTTTTCTTCTTCATGCTTTATATGGTATTGTTTGTACCCAAGCTAGGACACAATGCATCTTGTTTGCATCTGGAGAAAAGTTTTACTTTGTCAGAACACAATAAAAAGTTATTATTATGATTATCATCATTTATCTGACTCTGAAAAGGCATATTTGGAATGCTGTTTCAAATTCAAATCAGTTTTCTCTATACCACAAGTTGTTTACAGCCAAACAACATCTGCTTTGTTGTATAAGTTCTGAAACTCTTAGTGTCTTAGAATAAGAAAACTGTCTTCTCTTGAAACTAAACCTTTAAAATTCTTTAAAGCATTCTCTATTTGAAGTAATGCATCTTTTATGTTAGTGATGGCGTCTTAGCTCTTTACACCCATGACGGTTTCGCCACAACATCTGCTATTAAAGTTTACAAAAACTCTTTTAAAAAGTGTTTTAGAAAAAGAAAGTTTCAAAGCCTTTTATGACTATATTCTCTTAAAAATAAACCGTTAAAGTTCTATAAAGCATTCGTCTATTTTAAGTTATGCATCTTCTATGTTGGTGATGGTGGATGGGAGGCCAAAATTCAACTAAGATAATAAGCTCTAATTAAAGTTACCAGTACCAAAACTAGTTAAAAAGAAGTGTAAGAAAAGGATATTGTACATAGGAAAATCCTCTGGGTTCTCTGGTATAGTAGTCCAGTGGAATATAAACGTCGGTTATACGGCCATATTTGCCGAACATTCGCCGAAGGTCGTCAGGCCTGAAAACAAATCGAGAAAAAAGTTACAAAAATAACGAAAACTTTGGCATTTCCTTTGAATAGATAGTTACCTTGTCTCTGGATGAAGGTTTCTCACGTAAAGTGAGCTGTTAGGAGGCCGTGAATAGCGAGACATTTCGAAATTTTCTGCTGCTTTTGACGCAACAAAACAGAGTGAAAAAGCTTTGAACCAAAACCACGCTGTAGAGAGTATTATGGGATAGTTATTGAAACCACTGTACCTTGGCACAGCGGCTACTTTCAAAAACGCAAGAAAAACCTTCAAAAATTCAAATAAAATCGTATAAATCTAAGTCCTCGTTAAAAGATAATCTTTAATAGATTAAAAGCAACATTTTGGATAATATATATTTCAAGAATAACTAATATTTTAATGGCAACGTTCATGGTGATACTTGGTGAAATTTTGTGGGTTGCCTGTGTAATATGACCAAATATGGTATATATACAAAGAAACGGACTAATTAGATTTTAACATTTGTTTTGAGAATTTAACCCTGATAACAACAATCTTTTTTCAGAAACAAATGTTCAGGAATAAATGTTAATAAATTCTTATGACTTTTCAGATAACTAATTTTAAAAATGATATCGTGGTTTTCCTGTGTAATACCCAAATATGGTTACCATGACCATATTAGGATTTCGCGCGCTCGATTGTGTTTGGCGCGAAAGTTCGTATTCGTTGTTGTCAGTTCTTCGATTTTCTTCGTCCTTCTAACACGTTTCTCTACCACACTCCTTTATTACCCCTTCTTATCTTCAATTTTCTCTCCTAAATCTCTTAGTTTTTAGCTAAAGAACTTCATTTATAGATAAAGTAAGAATGGAAGTACAGACTAGAGCGCACTCTAGAAGCAAAAGAGAAAATAACAGAGGTGAAAATCAAGGTTCTTCGGGGACAAGAAGCTCACCGCGTAAGAGGTCGTATCAAAGGTACTCCAGAACACCCGCTTCAAGCTTGAAAGTTGTCCTCATGATTAATAATTCTTCCCGCTCTATGTTATTTTAAAGAGTCAGGTTTGTTTATTAGGCCATTCAAAAAGAGTTGCGTAGGTTTTTTTGGTATCTTTTTGACTCGAGAATATTTTTGGTTTTGGCGCCATATTTGAAGAATACGCTACCTTCTTCATGATGGATCAAAGCCTTTATTCTAAAACCTAAGGCCGAAAATATGATTTTTAAAATAACCAAAGCTGAATATACTCATAAAACATAGTTTGATCATAACATAAACAAATCTTGATTCCAATCACTTTTATTTTCAAAGATTCAGCACACTTATGAGTTGCAAAAATTTTAACGAATTAACTAGAAATAGAAAGTAAACAAGGAAAGGCTAAAAAATATAATTTCAAAATAATTTTCCAAAAATTCCTTGTTGATGTACTTGATGGAAGGTTGGAATTTTAAAATATTTTGAAATCAGGTGAAAATTCAGAAAAGATCCCCCAAATCATATGAAGTGATTTTTTAGTCCTTTGAGCAATAAGCTTGTGTTTAAAGTAATTTTGAATGATGTATGAAATCACAGAATTTGTTGTTGTGGCAAATTAGGTGAATGTTAATCAAAACATTTCCATGACATTGTTCAGAACAACAATTTCAGAGGCATATGCCTATGTATAGATTGCAAATGCTTTGATTTGCTTTTGAATAGGGAACAAAGGCGAGGAAGCAACAGCGCTGAACATCCACTTCCAAATGATGATTTACGTTCACCATCTCACAAGCAGCCCAGATTCAAGGGACAAAAGGAGAACACTCCCAAGAACAAAATGATAACCAACGGTGACAAGAAAGGACCATGGAACCAAAAACATTTAAAGAATGAAAAAGTGGAATTGGATAATCAAGAGTTTCCACCTCTTGGTTTTAATTTTGACAGGTAAGATGTAGATCTCTTACTGATGTGTGGTCTTAAAGTAATGAAGGGTAGCATAACATATGTTTCCCCTCAACACCCACCTCTGGGGTCTTGCTTGGACTTACTGTGTGGACACACTAACCTGGACCATTTGAATAAATCTGACCAATCAGATAACAGTAGACTAGACAGAGATTGAACTGATAGCAAAGTTAGCCAATCATATTGTCACATTCTCACACTCTTATAATATCAATGCACTATCTGATTGGCTGGTTAAGAAATATTGAACTAAATGTCGCAATATGATTGGTTAATGATACTAGCTTATCAAAGTGGTCCTGGTTGGAGTATCCGAACAGTAATTGCTGAACTCAGGTTCACAAGTTAGATCTCTTCCTTGATTTGAGGAATTTTCTCTGGGTTCTCTCCCTCTGCAAAACCTAAAAAGCTGATTATAATTTGATTTGTGAGTTAGCTGTACTAAGAGTTTGATCAGCCCAGAGGTAATTTCATCATAGGTATTGATAAAATTTGAATAATTTTTTTCTTTGCATGTTGTCTTTAGAATTGCCAATTTAAAAAAAGATATTTTGTATATTAGAAGAGTTGCATTCTGCTTCACTCCTGGCTTTAATGTTTCCCAGGGTTCACCAGATTTTTCTCTTCACGAAAGTAGCTATTCAAAGTGCTGTATAATGCAGTAGTGGCTGCTACCATGGTATGTTTAGTAGTCGATAAGATAACTCATGACTAATTTTACTCCAGATATACACCAGAATCATCAAAAGACTGGGGAACTATTGTCCAAGAAGAAGAAGAAAAGCTTGTCCAATGTAAAGAGAACAACAGAAAATCATCAAAGTAAGTCAATTATCATAAGTATTGAAGACTCTTATGCATTATACCTTGCACTTGTGTTGCAAAACTTAGAGGTTTTTGATATTATGTGAACTTGGCAGTTACAAGCTGCACATTAAATTTTTTTGTCGCCGTCAATCAAAAATAATCAGTGAGAACCTCTTACATTTAGGACTGACAGTCAAAGCGAACTTTGCAACAAGCCTTTGAAATGTCTGAGTTCGCAGAATATCGAAAACTGCAGTAAAACAGATATACAGTTCATTAAAGATTATTGCATGTCAAGTGATGATAGCGAAGTGCAGGAGATCAAACTGATGTCTGTTATGACTGATGAATTTCATGATACATCCATTTATTCATAGTACACTTTCAACCCATGCATTATCCATTTATCTTCATAAATTCACATTTCCATACATGCTGACGTTGCCTTTAATCCCATCTATCCATTCTTGCATTCACTTCTCTATACTATGAGGTATGTCACCTTGTAAGTAGATAATGTGCCATTTATCTATTGAAAAAGACATACACAGATTAAACATTGTCTGAAAGCAGCAACAGTTTTGAGTTTTTTTCTGATTGTAGTCACTGTCTCAGACAGCACAAACACTCACCCATATCATCAGTCATATGTTCAGATGTTTGACATGATCATACCAATCATTCTTATCTGATGACATGCTATGTGGGAATTATGAAAATTTTTTTGCAGTACACAATAGCCCGGGGGGGGGGGGGGGGGTTACCCCCCCCCCACGGGGGGGGGGGGGCCCCCCCCGCCCCAAAACCCCCCCCCCCCCCCCCCCCCCCTGGTAAAACCAGAAAACCTATAGAAAAACCCTCAAAGTAAGGGAGAAAATTAACAACAAACTCAACTTACATATGACAGATTCTGGGAATTGAGCCCTTGTCGTAGTAGTGAGAAGCCTGCGTTCTTACTGCTATGTTACCCATGTTTCCACAATGCATCCCTCTAGGATGGCTATCTCCTATGACTTTGAAATAGGACACTGTTAATGATTATTATTCTCTGATTAGAATCAAGCGACGATTAATGCTATATGATACCAGTGAGCCTACCCCCAAAGAAACAACTGATGACAAATCCAAACCAAAAAACAAAGTCTTGAGGCCTATAATAACAGACCCACACAAGTTAGGACAGCGACAAAAACAGATTGAAATTGGGAAAAATACAGTGTCGTATGGAAATTACATCAAAAATGTACCAAGGTAAGACCTGAGAAATGAGTGTTTGCACCCACCCAATTTCGAGTCACCTTGCAAGTGAGTTTGTGCAGCTAAAGTCTGACAATAAATTGTGTGTGTAAAGTGAAACAAACATCTTTTGATTGAATTTTATGTGTTATACAGCTTATCTTTAAGCAATAGCCCTCTTTAGCTTAGGTAAAATGTTTACCCATTTCAGACTATGTGTCACTCCTGAGAATAAAATCTTTTGTTTGAGTTGTATACATCTTCCCAATTAGTAGGATACGTGTGCACGGCTTTAAGTTTTGAGACTATAATAAAGTTATTATTATTATTATATGTATTGTCTTTTCCTGGCAACTGTACAGCAAAGAAACAATATGATGTCATTAGTAAATTTACTTGATTCTTGAATTGCAGAGAAAATCGTTCTAAAGAAGATCCCTGGACTCCAGACAAGTTCCAGCAGTGCAGCACCAGGTCTTGGGTTGGGCAGGTCAAAAATTGGCGCAGACGTCTGCATTCTTATGACACCAACTCAGATACCAAAGATGACCTGTTCTCAACATCATCAACAAGGTTTGTTGGAACAATTGAATCTGGTTTAATCTGATTTACACGAGAAATAATTCAGTTTCCCAGGGGAGAATGACTCTATTGTCATGCCTCCTGTTGTGGCTGCCATTAAGTGATTGTGCAAAGCCCCTATACTCCAGTATCAAGTTCTCTGTTGTTTAGCGTGAGCCTAGATTTTGTGTAGAATGTTTTATTCCAGTGAAGGTCCATGGAATTTCAATAATAATGTGGTCATAGCTGTGCATTCTGTATCTGGCCTTCTGAATTTTTGCATCATTGATGATATGCCAATCACCATGTTAGATGGAAGAACTATAGAAACCCTTTCCTCTGAGAAAATAAATTTCATAGTGGAGCAATGAAGCTCTTTGATATCCAACTGGAAATGGAAGGTCAGAGGTCTTCCCCCTTTGCAAAAATCAACTTTTAACATTCTAATTGGAATTTCAGTGGCCACTTTGTCAGTGGAAAACCAGTGCCAAATCCTTTTTTTTCTTGTTCATGTTTTGTTTTTCTCATTCATGTTTTATTTTGACCATGTAGCAGTAGCCAGAACACAGATGAAATCAAAATGGAAGATCAACAAACACAGCCTAAATCAAAGCACATAACCATTGAAGAAATGTTCCAAGACTTTGACCTGGATAGCTGTCTGATGGAGGACGATGGGCTACCGTTATAAATGCAGATTCAAAATGGTCTTACTGGTAACGATATTAAGATTTAAGGAAAGACTGTTTTGCAGTATAATAAACCTTCTAAGCTTAGGCATTTTGTTTTCCCATTTCAGACCATGTGTCATTCTCATGAAAATAAGATTCTTTCTTTTTATTCGAATCGTTTACACATACCCTAAGGAATGACACAAGTTCTGAAATGGGAGAACATTATGCCTTTGGAAGCTTTATGGGTCTATTCATAATTAGAGTCGACCATATAACCTAATCAAGCAATAGTCGATCTAATGAATGTCTGTTCAAAAATCTCATAGGGGACATTGAATTTCATTTTTAGACCCCCCTAGCTCCCCAGGCATGTGTAAAAATTGGCACCTCCCCCACTGCAATAAGGGAAGAGGGACCTAAATATAGAAACAAAATTTGGATTCTTCATACAGCAATTTTACTGCAAGTTGATTTACTTTTTCTAAGCAGAATTGATTTGCAGGACTAATTCTCTAATGTAAATTATTTGTGTTGAAAATTTTTAACCATATTTGAATTTCATGATGATTCCTTTTTAGAAATCTCTTTTAATCTTTGAAAAAGAAATTTTTACTTTTTAATGAACTTGTAAAAATGCATGCATTTTCTGGAACCATTGAATAAAAAATATCTAGATTCACATTTTCATAAAGTATCATATCATCACTAGTCTCCCCCACAGAGAAAGTGTTGCGTGACGACACTGAAAGCGGCTGTGGGGGAGACTATATCATCACTGGTTTAATACTTGTATTTGTGGAAAATGAAGAGTGATGTACGTAATAGCAGTACACTCGCCTCTTTGATTCCAATTCTGGACTTGTCATCATGTGGGTAAAGTTTATTAGGTCTTTCCCTTGATTATTTAAGTTTTCTTCCCTCTGCAACACCTAACTAAATTCTAATTTGATGTGTGAGTCAGCCATGCACAGACTGATCAGCCCAGAGGTTGTTTCTGGTCGAATTTGGAGGTTAATTTACCAGCACTATTTATAGTAACCTGCAAAGGAAACTTTTTCAATCATTCTAGAATTTCCAAGTACAAAACAGGCCAACAAACAGCTGAAGAATAAATTTTATTTTATCGAATAGTAGCTGTAAAGATACAATAATTGTTATTAAACATTGGAATATATATTTCTCCCTACCAAAGAAATTCCTGGAAATTTTGTTCTAAACTTGGAATTCTTTTAAGTTCATTCCAATAAAATAAATTTATATTAGGATAATATTGCATTAGCAAAATGTCCATTTTACTTGTCACTTGATGGTTGAGTCTAAATATAATTTTTTACTTCACTCGTAGAACTATGCTTTGTTGATAATTGTACAGAAATTTGTTCCCTGCTAGCAGTCTCTCTCCTCTTTATCTCCCTTCTTTTAGGCGGGGAGGAGGGAGACTCTGCCAATGTAGAGCCTTTCCTTTAACAATACACTGCCGTCCACAATCGTGGATGAACAAAACCAGTTTTAAAACTGGTTTTTAACCAGGCACATGTAGTACGCATGAGCAAATGTAACACACCCTGGCGCCAAACGTTGTTTGACGAGCGGCTGTCAAAATCATGACAGCGTTGCTAAGTTACACCACACAGGCTTGACAAGTATAACGTCCTACATCGGCAGTCTATTTTTCTCACTCCACCGAAACAAAAGGAAAACAGGCTCTGCTAGCAGGGAAAGAAATTTGTAAAACTTCTGAAAATTTTTAGTATTGCAAGTTGCCATCAATACAAGACTAGTTATAAGATTGGCTCCATYATGATCGTAACCATGACAGAAGGCAGGAACAATTGAATCTGCTCTATTCTAAGCTACCGTTGTGGCTCTGTTCATGGCTGCCATCACAAGATCGGGCAAAGTCTTTAATGACTCATTATTGGAAGCGTAAAACAAATTTCAATTGAAAACTGCTGGGAGAAAATCAGATTGGAATCGATTTAGATCAAATTTATGTCTTCTATGAATAAATTTAGTCACTGTCAAATGAAAACAATAGAATTTGTTTCTATTAATGTCTAGATTGGAGTGATTTTACTTGGCCTATGAAAAAAGAGTAAGCATACTACATTACTAGTAGATGCTAATTCCATTGTTTTATTTTGTTTTACTTTGACTGTTAGTCACTTATGTCCCATGGCTTGACTAAAAACATTCTAAGAACCATTTGAATGGTTAGTAAGAATAGTCCAGTTTCGGGTTCCAAAATACTGCTGTCTTTCTCGATTACAGACTCATTTACTCAGGCTTCGAATCAGTGTCTAATTACTTGCAAATACCAACGGTAAAGTAAAGAATGCACAACTTCAACAATACAAACACTTTGGAACTTGACGGACCTTGACTAGAAAACGTGAATATTCTTCACAAAATTGAGGCTAAACCTGAGTAAATGAGTCTGTAATCAAGAAACACAGCGGTAATTTGGAACTCGAAAAGGGTATATTGGTTAATTTCATGTGCAAAGTAAACTTACTATCATATACAGCTACCGGTGAAGCAAAAATCACTCAAAATGCAGAAAGAATAATTATTTGATTCCCATAAAAATATCCTATAACATTCTTTTGTAAGGTTTAGTACAACGTAAACATTATGTACATACTCGATGCCCATAGAAATAACGTTTCATATTTGTTTATTCGATTATATTTACTTTTACTGTTGATTTCAAGATTCTATAATCATTAATGTAGTTTTTTGTTAGATGTACATTAAAAAACCTTTAAATGTATGACGACAATTTTATGACAAAAACTTTACATATTATTTACAATGAGACAGTTGATAATCATCAATCTCCCTCATATTCAATGGTAAATCATTTCTGATTTGATTAATGTTGGGTTTTTGGACCTTATGTTTACCTGGACAATATGCCGTTAAATAAAGAATTGATCAACCTAAAGGTTCCATTTCCTTTTAGAGTTATAACGAGTGTTACTTTTCTGATTTAAGAAACGTGAGGTGGTCAATCCACAATTTCCTCAGACATTTACAACCAATTATTGCAAGAGCTTTAAATTTGCAATATTAATGACAAGGTGTGTTTAATACGACTGTTTTAGATTCCATTATCTTGGCTCAAACACCTATCTGTTTATATCTCCTGTTTTGATCTTTGCTCTTCCTTCAGTAATTCCATCTCTTATTTACCAGTTTGTTTGACACCAACTTTGACTTCGGTACGACAGATTGGACAAGTTCTGTTTGACTGTTGTCAAGAGAAAAAAAGTATTAATAACGTCTAGGAAACAGATTTTTTTCAACCTTCAGCAAAAAATTTTTTTCTCTATTCCTTACTTTAAAACATTTTACATAATGTTTTAATTTTCATTCAAACAAAGAGCTGGCTAGTCCAAAAGTATTAGAGATACCATTTTGTTCTATTCTCCTAATAACATCCTCTCAAGTCGAGTTCTGAGTTCCCAACATGTGAGTTTAGTTTGTTCAACATGTTCTCCAGTTCCATGAGGTTTTTCCCCCAGGTTCTCTGGTTTTCCTGACTCCATAAAAATCAACTTCAGAGTCATAAGCATAGAATATTTCATTTTAAGGTAGTGAGTGATCAGCCACTAAAATATTCATAATATTTATAAACAGGGCTGTCAACCCCCAAGATATTCAGATCTGGAGAATTGATAGGGAATGGACATGACGTCACAGCGGGAAAAAAGGCACAAAAAGACGTCATTCACTTTGTAACATTTGATGTGATTGGTCTATTTCTTTATACCAATCAGATTATTGCTTATAGTTACAATGGGATGCTTGCAATAACAGGTTATTTGGAATGTTTTGATTTCGTAAGCGATGTAAAATAACACAAACAACACAAAATAATTGGAATCCTATGGTTGTAAAAGTCGAGTCTCACAAGAAATGGTGAGCTTCGGCGATTATCCGGGAGATTTGAGACTCTAATCTGGAGACCAGGAGATACGGTCCAAAATCTGGAGACTCCTGGTTTATCCGGGACAGTTGTCAGCCCTTAATAAATTAACTTACTTTTAGCCATTTATCGATACATCTCGTATGGTAGTCATGAGAACAGGGCAGTTTTCTTATAAGCTGTTTCTCATCAAAATCCGCCAAGCACACAACACATCGTCCATCATCACTTTGCTTCTTTGATTCCGCTGTAACACGGAATGTTTGTAATTGGTCTATTTCTGCTCTTGTTAAGCCTTTGGGTTTTGCTTCTCCAATTTGTTCAGCAAGATTCAACAAAGTCTGAATGTATATACATAAAACAATTTAATGAATCGATCAATGCAACAGATCTCTAGCTTTGGCATATTGTTTTCCCATTTCAGACCACACGTCATTCCCTAGAGTATCATTTCTTTGTGTAGTGATTGTGCATGAGAAGACACATGAATATGGATACAACTCAAGCAAAGAATCTTATTTTCAAAAAATGACAAGTGATGTGAAAAGGGAAGACATTACTCCCAAGGTAAAGAGGTTTATCCCTCCCAAGAGAATGGAATAATTTACAGTCAGCGGTATTTTAAATTACACAACAAATGAAACCATTTTGTCCCCTAGTGGGGTTGAAAGGCAGTTAGGTATTTCCCATTTGTCCCCCATGGGAGGGGGGAGGTGTGGGAGTTTTTCCCTACCTCATAATTCTCCTGTTGGTAAGCCTCCTCCCATACTGCAGGCTGCGGCGTTGGGTGTGTTGTCGGCACAGGCTGCATTGACATGACAGACAATAGATGGTATAATAAATCTGGGTACGTCTGGACTCTAGCAGAGTGTACTGTAGGCGGCTGTTGATGGTGGTTCATTGATTGTGACCATTCAGGATTGCTCTGCCATCTTCGATAATGTCTATGATGCTAATTAAAACAAAGGATAGTGATGTCATTTTAGCAGTTTACAATATTAAGTGCACTTGGCAGTTTCAAGCTGTACACTGAAATGTGTTTTTTCCCCTGCTGTTGAAATAATCAGTTAGTACTCTTTATATTTTCGACTGCGGCAGTGAAAAAAACAATAATTTCAACTGGCAAACTCAGAACTACTCAGTTCGTGTAATATTAAAAATTGCAGTAAAAGACACTTGCTTTAAACTCATGGATTCCTAAACATAAAAACTCTACTAACAAAGCTGTTTCACAAGCATAGCATAGGTGGCACGTTCTGCTAAGGTGCTGCTTCTTACCACCGAGTTACTTCAAAACTGGGGTTATGAGTTCGATTCATGATTCATAAACAGCATATGTGAGTTGAGTTTGCTTTAACTGTGTTAACTGTTGTCTTCCTTGCCACGATGCACGTGACAAAGGACCGTTTTCTCTGTGTGCTGTATCATCCTCCCTCATCATGCGAAGAGCCAGCCCCATAGGGGAGTAAATATAGCTTATAACACAATAAACAAAACCTACCATCTGAGATGAAGGGAAAGGATGAGGATGGTAAGGCTGAGGTTGGGCTGCCTGTGGAACTTGATACGGAGGTTGGACGAAATGATGGTGATGGTGGTGGTGGTGGTGGTAATGATGATGATAGTGTTGATGGTTGCTGGCGTTAACATCCAAATCTGGATTCTGAAATATCAACCAGATAGATAACTTTATTTTCTAGTTTAAGTTACGTTAAGCATTTCCAATATTGCATATTAGTATGTTTACACAAGTGAATATGATATAAATCCATCATGCTCATCGGTCACAATTACGTCTTATGCTGCTATGTTCACCTACAGGAGAATATAACGAGCACACACTCGTTTGCTGCTTTGTGCCGCTTGCAGAGATAAATAGAACACAAAAAACCTCTCTCTCCATTATTTATTAAATTCACTTGCATTAAAAACACTAAAACAATTATTCACTTCAGGCTCAATGAATATCAGGGAATATTTATATTGCCGCTCGAAGACTTGCTTAGTCTTTTATTTTTGAATTTATTTTTTTATAAATCATTCATGCTTTTATTCATTTTTAGACTTATTGTAATGTGCATTTGAAAATTTCTTTTAATTGATATTTGCATACTAGGGTGAAGTGAATATCGGAGAATATTTACCAGGACGCGAGTCTTCGAGCGGAGAGGTAATTATTCTCCGATATTCACTGAGGCTGAGGCAAATAATTGTCTTAGTATAAATACACAAGTGATTCTTTTGAAAAAAAGGAAAAAAAAGAAGATAACAGCAACAAAGCGGCTGGCCGCCATTTTAGATTATTGCTTGAGGTGATTACCGTGTGATAGTGTGAGTTTCTCAACCAATCAGCACGCAAGATTTTCGATAATCACCTGTGTATTTTACTAAAAATTGATAAATCAAATTTTAAATTATTATAATTCATACCTCACTTGGTTGGGGCTGCACATAAGTAGGCGTGGCCATCGGCACACTATTAACTATCAATCTATTTGGAAAACTCGTAATAGGGACTGTTCGAACATGGTTAGGTATTTGATCAGAATCAAGTATAAGAGGTGTTGCAGGTGCTGGAGGGTGCTGTAGAGGCACCGTTGATGACATTGATGGACAGTATGACGGATTCGAGACACGGTGGATTGATCTGTAATGTGAATGGTGGTGTGGTTCTCTTGATGTCTGTGCATGCAGATATGGACATCCTCGTACAGGCCTGAAATAAAAGAACGAGATCATGAACTTGAAGTAGAAAGAGTCACGTTATAAATAAGTTAAATCATATACTAGCTGTAAGATGCTGATCATTCAAAAATAAAAATATTCAATATTCTATTCCATCTCTGATCTACCAAGGTCTTTAGTTAAATATTTCATGTGGTATATTTAAATAATTAAATATCAGATGTACCCATGGCTGTCATATGGTTGCCCAGTGACACGATGAAATGCTGATGAATGAGGATGTTGATGGTGCGGCATGTGACGAAGGGGTTGGTGAGCCATGGTAGGAGGAGGGGGTGTTTCTGCTGTCAAGTCTATGACTGTTGGGCTATAACCATATTTAACCTCATTCTGAAATAAATAAAAACAAAAAAGTGTAAGTTCACTATCGACTCAAAACAACCTTCAATCCATTAAGTCATGCATGCATGGCTAACCCACAGATTGAACCCTGAAACAACCTCTGGGCTGATCTAAGTCAGGGCATGGCTAACTCAAAGATAGAACCCTGAAACAACCTCTGGGCTGATCTAAGTCAGGGCACAGCTAACTCACAGATCAAACCCTGAAACAACCTCTGGGCTGATCAAAGTCAGGGCACGGCTAACTCACAGATCAAACCCTGAAACAACCTCTGGGCTGATCTAAGTCAGGGCATGACTAACTCACAGATTGAACCCTGAAACAACCTCTGGGATGAACTAGGTTAGGGCATGACTAACTCACAGATTGAACCCTGAAACAACCTCTGGGTTGATCTAAGTCAGGGTACATGCAACTAACTCACAGATCAAATCCTAAAACAACCTCCTGGCTGATCAAATTCAAAACAAGGCTAACTCATAGATTGAATTGGAATTTAGAAAGTTGGTTTAAAAAGATAATGAAGTTCCCAGACAAAAACCCATTTAAATCTCCCGTTCAAGTGTGCCAACCTTATCAAGACATTCCTTTTTTTAATCTGTTATTTTAAAATTCACCAAAAATATGCTTCACCTAATATTATTAGCTTATTAGAAAGCATTATTCAATTTGTTATCATAAACAGTCGAAGTGAATTATATCAACAACTTTATAGATTCACAATCTCTCCTGAATATAAAGCATATAAAAAACAGGTTTTTAACTGAACCACACAAAAAGCAATCCATTTTTAAAGCTAAAAAGCCCACATAATGGAATGTAATTCTAATCATTAACTGAAGTCTTTGAAGATAAAAGCTTTGGAGCAGATCTGAACACACTCAAGTTACATATACTATAAACTTGAATTTAAGGTAAAAAGAGTTCATCTAATGGTAACTTTACTAAGTTAAAGATTGACAAAATGTATATTATAGCCATCAAATGTTTATCTCTACATAAGTTCATTTTGAACCCCTAGAAGAAAAAATTTCTATTTCATTTGTTTTATTTATATACTTTTCTTCTCAAAATTAAACTTGATCTGTAAAAAAGAAAACATGGGATAAAAATATACAAAAGACTTGCGTTTAATCATTTTAATATTCTTTCTTTTAATGTATATCATTGGTAAAAACTTTCAGTTTACTTTGAAGTATCTTCCACAAACAGTACAATATTTTTAGTTTTTCTACATTTTAAAAACACCGTTATAAGGAATAATGAAAAAGATTTGGTATTCAATTCATTATCATGCAACATTTCTTTAAGATACTGGCTCTTTTTTCTTTAGTGATGATGACTAACATGAAAGCTATGCATTCTTCATGTGTGGTTTAGAAGGCTTTACCTTAGAATATGCATTACATGACAAGATTTGATGATCTAAAGATGTAGAAGGTGTTGGGGCTGTGCTCGCCATACTTTTATATTCGTTGTCCTAAAGAAAAAAGATGGAAAAAATGCTATAAACTTTAAAATTGAGGTATATCGTAGCCACGTTAGCACAAAACTAAAACATTTATGGTTATTCTGTCAAGCTATTCTTATTTTAACCAATGAATCATTACCACATTCTGAAAATTCTCAAAGTTTTCATTACAAATTATTTACAACCTTATGTTGGTAAAATCATTAATAAGACATTAGAACTCATTTTTTTAAAACTATAATTTGTCTTCACAGCAACAAGAATTCTATTATTTGGGAAAATCTTAGAATAATATCTCTGACAATACTATATGACAAATCATATTCATAACATGCAGCAACCAATCATACAAAGGACCTTTTGGATATCCCATTATATAGGACTTTCACAAATTCAAATTTTGAGCTTAACAAAATATTCTATTCAACAATCCTTAGGGAGTGAGATGTCAAAGAAAATATACTCCAGCTGATCTAAATCTTAGTTTATTCAACTTTTTGTATGTCTGTTGACAGTCTCAGTTAACAGACTTTCAGAAATGCAAGCTTTCTTCATCAGCAAATATGCATTCAGCTGGAAGTGAACAATCTTTAAAAACAAGGAATTTTATTTCATAAAATGAAGAGCTCTACTTTTATTATACTGCTATATGTTTCATATCTAATTAAAGTAGGAAGTAGTGGGGTTTTTTTCAACGGGAAAGGAAAATAAATGGGAAACATAAACATGCTAAGAGATAAGAATGGAAACAATAGAAATCTATGTACAATAAATAAGAGTTCTTTTTGTCGTATTTTTATGAATTTTCGAACATTTAATATTAATAGCACTTTAAAGCCAAGAAGCTTGGAAACATTCTAATGTTAAAAAGATTATGGCTTAGGTTTAGAAAATAATTTGAAATATCAGAAATGCCTACTTTGAAAGGCTACAGTGGTGTTAAAGACACATTTTTTTGCATTAAAGCTTTGATTCATATTAAAGCAACCAAATGACAAAGGAAAAAATACTTCATTGAGTTTTTCAGTCGATGTAGAGCTCAACGAATGGTGTAAAAATCTTTGAGTTTACCGCTGTAAAGTTCAGGGTCACTTGGTATAGAAAGCGTGACACGACTTCCACAAGATGGTTTTGTTGAAGAAAGGCTTACTCAGTACTTTTTCATCCTCAGGACTGAACAGATTTCTTTCTATAACACACTGGAGTATTTTAAGAAGTTGGGATTTCGTTTCCAGATCTCCTAGGGTATTTCTTTCGAGCGATTCGTTGGAAATATTTGAAGATTAAGGTCATTGTATAATGGAATATTCAACACTATCACGCTTGTTAATTTATGCATGAGCAAACAACATGACCAATAACACGGACAGTTTTCTCGAAATATTCCCTTTAAAATTTCAAATAGAGTGGAAACTTCGACCACCGATGATATCGTAGTATACTAGAAGAATCGTATATGAAAAATCTAGGAACAAGACTTGAAATTTCGAAGACATTTAGAGCGCTTTTGAAGCTCTCTGAACAGAAATATTAAGGAGCAAATCGATTCGCCTGAAGGCATCATTAACATGCGAATAAAGAATGGTTTTCCTCCGCGAATCTACTGGTTTTATGAAAGCATTGATAGCTTAACGTAAAAAACAACCAGAATCTAATACGAAAATCCTGAATTCAAGCTTATATATTCCTAAAATTAGTGAAATTTAACCTCGTAAGGTATGGTATTCTCTTCGCTAGATCTTTACTGCCTTAAAAATAAGACTTTTTGCTTTAAGAGTAGAATAAAAAACTAGTTTTTACCAGCTAAAGAAAACAAAAGAAACTTATAGAAAGAAAACATATTAAATACTAAATTTTGAAGCTGTTCTATGCCTCGAGAATATCAAAAATCTTTAGGGCTAAAAAATATTTTTCAAATCATCAGATATATTGCACTGAATTCTCTCAAAACACACACATGCGGATTGTAGGAGAAAAGAATTCCTATTGAAATTATAATGACATAGGAGACAAAAAAATACCTTACATAAAAAGCTTTAAACACAAAGGATTGTAGTAAGAAACGATGTGAAGTAGGGAAAAACTCTGGAACCACACAGAGAGAAAGACATACAAGATTACTTCTACCACAGAAAACATTCTTCCTAACTTTTCACGAAAATAACCGATTGCTTCAAAAAATTATTCTCTAGCATTGATTAAGTCTAAATAACCAAATATTCACGATCTAAAAACATATTTTTTATCTAAAGGTAATAAAAGGTTTAGAGAATAGCAAGGATGTTTTCTTCCGCGCGCGCAGATCTTGAAAAAGCGCGATTTTACCTTCAAATTTGAATCGAAATTGGTTTTTCAAACCCAAGATCTGGTCTTCGCGGATATTTTCCAAGCGCATCAAAGCGTTCGATCTCTCAGAATATACCCGTATTAGAGAAATTTTAGACCGAGTTTTGCGTATTCAAACATCTAAACAAGATGGTTCATATTACGAGGTATGAAGCGATGGAGTTTCATGGCTGTTCGCCCGGTCATCAGTTCACCAGCAAGTAAGGGCGAACCTGCCTTTATTTCTTATTCTATCCTCCTATTCCTAAGCGTTCTTATAAAATAAAGGTAATTTCTTATACAATGAAGGTTTAATACAACCAAAATTGTATATAACCGCATTCATTTTATGTTTATACCCCTCTGTTCTGGTCTCGGGTAGAAACCAAATATGAAACTTACCTCGCTGTATGTTCAAGGCAGAGCTTCAAAGAGAATTTGAACAAAGTTTTCCCGTCTAAACTCCTTTAATCTTCTTCTCCGATCTTGAAATAAATGTCTCCACGCTCAACAATTGGGTTTTGGGAGTCTTATTTTTGGCTAAAAGGAATACGAGCAACCAAAGGTAGGAGTTTGTACCGTGAACTGCACTACTGCATGTGGATGGCGGTTCCGCTTTGTAGAATCAATCAATGGAGACTCTTCCATCTCTTTTGTTGACACTTGACATCACGCTAATTGCATTGTGACGTCACATGGCATTCTCGAAAACCCTTCCCACAGAGCTACCAGAAGAATTATGTGTCAGAAAGACTATATCTCCGCTCTCTCTGATCAAATCGAATCCTCCTGGCCAATCTTCGAGGATTTTAATTGAGATTTTCGAAGAAATTTTGAACTCAGATGAAGAGCCAAGAGAGGTTTACTGATAAGTTTCATCGAAAGCCAATGAGATGCTCCGTTTGAATATCAGATCTTGTGTCTCCAGGAAAGTAGAATACGAGCCAAGCAAAAAAATTATCTTTCGTTTTTCATATATATTAATATCTTTGTTTTAAATCTTATAGATTAAAACTTGGTGCATAAAGGCTGCGTAGTCAATGAAAATTTCCTAGTTTTTTTTAGCATTTTGGACATACATTAAAAACACGAGCTGAAATTGACTTCCGGTTTGAGTTGATGGTTCAAAATAACACAAAGCAGTTTGGGCTTTTTCAGATGAAAATAATTCTAGGGGATATGACGTATGAAATAAGCCATCTACTGTCTCGAATTTACATTCTATTTAACAAAAAACTCTTATTTATATTTTGTAAAAATTAAAGTATTAGTTGAAGTAAGGACGCTGATAGGAAGTCTTTCTTCCTGGGAGATGGATTATTGTATAGAATAGTCTTTTTTATTTTCGCTTAAGCTTTTTTGCCCAAAGTGGAAAGGACAATACGCTGCCTAAAAGGAAATGGGCCGAAGCACAATTCATAAAGCACCATTGTGTTTTCTAGGTTGTCATAATGCGTTTTGATTGGTCAAGCACATCTGGCGACTCACCGCCTCCAAATATCAACCAATCAGAGAAAGCGACTATTATAAATAACTTACTGAAAAAGACAAACATTTTGAAGGTGAATTTTTAAAAGAACATGACTGTGGCTTTGAGAATCCGTAATTTGTTCCCCGAAACGCGAGAAGTAATCAACGCTAATGAGTTATTAAAGCTTTGGGGCTTGGCGAGACATTTTTATCAAAAATCCAGATTCGTAAGAGTCTAAAAGTCTGAAAAGAAACGAACGTGTCGTCTTAACAAATAATAAAATCATTTGCATATATTCTGAAGTCATTTCTAATAACTTGGTCCCCCTTATTTTGATATGCAAGGATACTTTTGAATGACAGAATCACCCGAAATCCGTCAAAGTCAGAGGTAAATATTTCACACAAAAGAAAAAGATTGTAGTCTTTCGCTTTCGTTTTGTTTAAAGTGAATAAAATATCAAACGAAAAGGCAAATATAGCTACGTGCCTCATGGAAGAAAAAAACCCCTCGTTACTAAAAATACATCAAAGACAGTTGATTCAATTTCGTCACGATGGCGTCACAATCGACCAATCACATGCCTTCCACGTGCCTAGGTGTGACTATGATCTGTGTTCTGATTGGGTGTTTCTAGGTTACGATTGACGTGGGTGGCACTTGAGTGGCTTTCATAAGGAATCAAGAAGAAGTGTTTGCGAAGTGCGATTTTATTTCTATACCTTTGATGGATTTAGTGAGTGTTCTTCTTTAGTGTGGGCGAAAAAAAAATCGCGATCAGTAGAGAGAAGTGCTTTTTGACTGTCTTTGCAGATGTACTGTATCCTTACTGAAGTTTTTGTAAAAAATAGTATCGAAAAAACCGCCTAGCGAAGTTTAAAATACGATTTCGCTCGACGTTCAGAAAGAAAGGACAAAGACGGAAAAAGACAAAGCTCTCGTAGCAGGCAAAGCAAAAAGATGACATTAGGATCCTTCAATTCGACAGAGAGCCCAGTTCGGGCCAAAACTTACCGCCGAAAGAGTTCCCCAAGGAAAAACAATCGTTTAAAAAACGATCGAAGCTTCAAAACGAAAGCTTTTCACGACGCCACGACACTGTCGTCGCTGGATAGCCATTACAAAGAGAAAACGTCTGTTGCTATTCCAGTACCGCGACGAAGAAACAGCGAGGGACTCGCTTCGTCTCCATCAGAGACCCATTATGCTGGACCTAAGTTCAGCAGTCCACCACCACCAAGTGTTCTTCCTAAACCACCGTCTCACTGGCTCTCTTATTCCGACATGGGCTTACAAACGGATGTCGCCGCCATGTCGCAACACCTCCGAAGTCTCCTCAAAGTGGCGTCGTAGAAAGCCTTCTGAAAAGACAAAGCGGTTAGACCGGTTTATGGTGATTTTCGTGTAAAATAGGTTTACTCAAATTTGTATCTTTTGTACAAATTTGTATATTTGTAAATAAGATTATTGAATAATTCGTTCGTGTTATAAGAAAATTCTATTCGTATATTCGTCCGTTTATGTTATCGAATCTGTGATGTATATTTCCAACCCTAGATCTAGTCAGTTTCACATTAGCTAGGAAATTTACATACTAAGGTTAAGTTGATCGCTTTCGCTCTAAAATTTATTTTTTCTGCATAGTTAAATTTATCCTTATTTTCTTGAACTTTAAAATGTTGTTTTGAAAAATTTAGGGAGGGTTTATAGTCCTTATACAGGATATTTCCGTTTGCACTTTTTTATACCTAGATTTTTGTTTTGCTTTTTTTTGGGATTTACTGTGCACAGTTGTGTATCTGCTGTTTTTCATAGATTTAAGAAAAAGTCGATGTAAATGAGAATTTTTCATAGGTTAAGGAGTTAATAGAAATTTTACATATTTTTTCAAACTAGGATAAGACCATTAAGCGATACTGGAGTTGACATTAATAAGAATGGAAAAAGAGAGAGAACCATTAATAATGGTATATAGTTTAATGATTTAAAAAGGATTTGTCGTAACTAAGACAAGACTAACAAAAGAACTTAACAAGACTAAAAGTTTATAGGAAATAACTGAGAATTAAACTTAACGAAGAACGACTTAAAGTGTCAGATGACAGGACTCCTGGTGCCTTTCAAGACAAAGTGATGGAAGCCAGGAATTATCCGAAAGACTTGGACTAATCAAGATGCAATTACCTTAGAGAAAGCAGATTAGAAAGTTATAGACAAGGTGCAAGCATCTTGAAAGGACACAAGACAAAGAAGATGAACAACAAGCATAAACAAGTCAAGATGCAAGTACCTTCAAGAGAACTGAGTAGAAAATTAAGACAAGTTACAAGCTTCATGAGAAAGGACACAAGACAAAGACAACGACGTACAACACAACCATGGATCAAGTACAATGCACACACAACTTCATACATGGCCCTTTTCAGGGCCAAACACATTTACAAAAGTGAATGATCTTATATGCTGATCAGTGTCATGCAAAATGACACAATAATAAAAAATATGTACATATACCCCTAAAATTAATTCCCAAAAAATATCAACCCAATTTCCCTTTCCATAGTAAGTTTCCACATTTTCGAATTTGAAAAATAATTTGACAAAAATTGTTCCACGTTAATACAAATTACTCCTAATGATCTAGTTTTGGCCAAAGAAATGATTTCAAAAGATTCTTTCATAAAACTGTATATGATTTTTTGTTTCATTGTATATATCGAGTTTACAAAATTTATGTGAAGACGCTGCAGCCTCAGAAACTTAAGTATATATATATTTATACCTATTTCTGCTAGCTTATTTCCCCATCTGCATAAACTGCCGTTTTTTTGGGAATTGCCTTTTGCTTTGACTCTTGGAAAATCTTATTTATCCTTTTGTTTGGGGCGGGAAATTGCTAACACAAAAGAGTAAAAAGGCCCTGTTACTCTCTTTGCAAAATGTATCAACCTTTGAATTCTTTTTATAGTTCTAGTTTTTGTCTCACATCTCGTTGGAACTTGTTTTTTGACCCCCTTATTAAACCATCTAGCTATGCCTTGGACATAACCGAGTATCTTATAGCATCATATTACAGATGGTAAATAAGATGACGTACTTGATAACAAAATCTAAAAAACTATGTAGGTAAAACACTAATGTTCATGATTGATGACAGAAAAGGTAAGTCTTAAGTGCAGTGTTAAATGACGAGACAGAAGGGGCTTTCTTGATATGTTGGGTAAAGAGTTCCAGAGTTTGGGTGCAGCGAAGGAGAATGCCCTCTCTCCATAACTGATTGAGCAAGAGATTTGTAATAAGGATGTTGCAGAGGAGCGAAGTGTGCGGGTAGGATGGCAAAGCTTTAGTAGATCAGATAAGTTAAGTATGGAGCATAATCCTGCACTACTTAAGCAAGACCCAACCTTCTGCTTTGCAGATGTTCTAATTGCCTATAGTGAGATCAGGACCAACACCAAAGTGATGTCATCAAACCCGTGAAATAAATTATTAAAAACTAATACACTTTAAAAGACCCTAATAATTTGCATTATTTTCTTTCATTTCTTTAAATCCCCATTGGACAGAAATGGAAATGGCGCTATATAAGAATAAAGTTATTATTATTTCTTTATCACGTCTATTTGAATATTACATCTTGACTATTAAATTTTGTTTCACGGGTTTAATGTCTTCACTCTAATCTGTGAAACACTAATTACTAAATAGTACAAAATAGTGCTAGTTAAACAATAGAAAACAATGGAATTTGCATATTGTTTGCACTCTAGTTAAATAAGTACTGAACTTATGGGAAAAAAAAAACAAGTTAAAAAATAAGATACGAGGGGTGGGGGGTGGGGGAATGCAAAGGGCAGCTTAACTGAGTCTGATGAAAACCCAAAATTCATGATCAAACTCTACTCGCATGGAATTCCAACAAGTCATGGAATGAAGCAAGAAACAAGTGCACTAGTTACACCACCCTTGATTCTGTAACAGACATACCTTTCCTAAATTCACTTGAGCAACAATAAAACAATGGCTCCATGTCGAGGTTGAACCCGACAAAATACAGTAAATGTATGAACACAACTGACTTTGAGCTAGTCTCCCCCACAGCCGCTTTCAGTGTCGTCACGCAGCGCTTTCTCCCCAGAGAAAGCGTTGTGTGACGACACTGAAAGCGGCTGTGGGGGAGACAAGCTCAAAGTCAGTTGTGTTCATACATTTACTGTATTTTGTGCTGTGGGGGAGACTAGTCTATTTATGGCAAACTGTACGTTTATTGTTGTTCTACTCTTGCCGTAAACACTCAAGTTTGTCAACCAATTAGATTACCAATCAATAAAAGTAAAATTCAAGTTACATGTATTGAAAGTCTATAAAAGCTATTCAAGAGGATAAAATGAAAAGATAAAACAAAAAAAAGGGAGTGTTCACGGCTTGAGTAGAACAACAGAAATATACCATTTATACATAACAGTAATAATAAAAGGTAAATCATACACCGTGAAAAAGATGAAAAAACTTACTGACGTTTCGGACGCTAGTCCTTCGTCGGAGTAAAAGAGAAAGAGGTGCTAATATGTATAATAATAATAATATATATAATATGTATATAATATTTATACATAACAATACCAAGAGAAGGAAATGGTTTTCAATCTTTTAATTACAGGTTTTTTTCTAATATAGGTAACCCAAGCTGGTGGACTTCTGAACTGTCACTGAAAGATGAAATGAAAGATTGGTACTTGTGATTGGAACTTCTTAAGAGATAAGCCATCCCAGCTTCTAAGCAGGTTGTGCATTAGCTAATACTTACCTTCTGTTAAACTTGGTTTTTTTTTTCACGTAAAATAAAACACATTTTTTTCTCTTTTTATATGCAACATTTAAGATATTGGAAGGAGATGAGTATCATCCTCACACAAATGCAAGGCTAGTGGCAAGAGGCCTGCGTTTGAGTCCCGTCCAAGCTAATAATAACATGAGTTGAGTTTGATGTATGGTTATCTCCTTGCTGCAGTTTTCCACATTTTGCAAATTTGGTAGTTGCAAGCTGCACGATGAAATTGGGAAGAGTGATCTCTTTCAAAATATCTGACCAAATCTCCCGGGGGGGGGGGGGCTCCGGGAAAAAAGTACTGGGGATGCTCATCGAAGATTTTCAAAAAGACCTCTAAAAGATACCAGAAGTCTTTAAAAAAGGCGTGGCTGAATGATTTTTAACCCCTAAGAGATACCACAACAAATGATATTAAATTTTATATAAAAGGTGCCTAGGATAAGCCATATTGATGCTCGCTTCTCTCCTTTTCCAACACCCTAAGAGATACCACATATTGCTGATTTTCAAAAATTTGCATTTAACACCCTAAAAGATACCAAATCGCGAATTCTTACCCCTAAGAGATACGACAAGCATCCTCGAACTTTTTTTTCCCAGAGGCTAAATCTACTTTTGACTCTTTTATCAGGTAGCTCGTTTGTATTTGTGTAAAGAATATTATTCAAATGTTAGTAAGGAGCTAGTATCAATGAGAGATATTTATTTATCTATAATTATATACATATTTTTTATACCTCAAAATCCAGACAAATTAAGAGTACAATTTTAAATGTAAATAGTGTTTTTCCTTGGCCCGTAACAAATGTATGCTGAACACAGTATAGCAAAAGTGTATTAAACTTTTTCATATTTTCAAATCTCAGGAGCGGATCCAGGAATTTTAGAAGGGGGGTCACTATTACGAAGATATTACTAACAATTCAAGAAAAAGGAGGGTGACTGTTACTTAAATATAAACAAAAAATAAAACAAAAAAACACTAATGATATACTAAAAAATTTGAGCAAAAAGGGGGTGACTAGTTACCCCCTTAAGCCCCATTTACACTAGCAATTTTTGCGGCGATTTTTGCCGCGATTTTGTCCATAATGAATAATGGTAAAGAATTTACTTGTAAAGTTTTTTTCAGCATACCAAGATTTTCCTAGACGAATGTCTCTTTTGAAGGATGAGACAAAAGATTTCACATTTCCGAAAATTGCCACAAAAATCGCAGCAAAAATTGCCACAAAAATCGCAGCAAAAATTGCCCCCATAATCGCCAGTGTAAACGGGGCTTTACCACCCCTGAATCTGACCCTGAATCTCGCTTCATCTGAGTAAAAATTTTAAAAAATAACACAGCCCTAATGACAGTCTAACAGTAAAGTTACATTTCCAATTTTTTAACAAACATTAATATTTGCTATCAATATGGTGATCATCATACCAATATTTCTTTTCGCAAGATCTATTTAATATAAATACTCAACTTTGGAGCAATGAAGAATAAGACTTACAGTACGAGGAAAATCACGCA